GTTCCCGGCCTGCGTCGTGTCCTACGCTACCAGTGGCTACGATGGCTCCATGATGAACTCCCTCCAGACAGTCTCTTGGTGGGACGACTACTTTGGCAAGCCCCGCGGCTCCAAACTCGGCTTGATGAGCGCCATCATGTCCCTGGGATCCGTCTGCAGTACCCCGATTGCGCCCTGGGTGGCGGACAAGTTCGGTCGACGATGGGGCATCACTGCCGGTAGCATCATCATGATCGTCGGTGCCATCCTGCAGTGTGAGAGCCAGAACTTTGCCATGTTTGTCGTCAGCCGCTTCATCCTCGGTTTCGGTCTTTCTTTTGCCACGACTGCCTCGCCCAGCATGGTGAGCGAGCTTTCCCATCCCAAGGACCGTGTCACCATCTCGGCCATCTGCAACACTTGGTGAGTGTCCCGTCTGCCCCTTCCACACAAATTTTTAACAGAGCATAGCTGGTACATTGGTTCGATTGCCGCCGCCTGGATTACCTTTGGCTCCCGCGAAATCGATTCCACCTGGAGCTGGCGTCTGCCCTCCCTCCTCCAGATGGCGCCCAGTGTGGTGCAGCTCTCCACCATTTGGTTCCTCCCCGAATCGCCGCGCTGGCTCATCGCCAACGACCGCGGTACGGAAGCAATGGCAGCGCTAGCCAAGTACCACGGAGACGGCGAGGAGACGGAGCTCGTCCGTATCGAATATGCCGAAATTGTGGCGGCTATCGAGCACGAGAAGACATCGGGCAATACCTCCTGGAAGTCCATGGTCAGCACCCCCGGCAACCGCTATCGTGTGTTTATTGTCTGTTGCATGGGAACCTTTTCGCAGTGGTCTGGCAACGGACTTATAAGTTATTATCTCTCAAGGGTAATGGACAGCATTGGCATCACCAACAAAGATACGCAAGCTCTCGTCAACGGCCTCATCAACATCTGGAACTGGCTCATTGCGCTCACGACAGCCTTTTTTGTCGAGCGGATCGGGCGTCGTCCTTTGTTCCGCATCTCCACAATTGGAATGCTGGTCATGTTCACTGCCTGGACCATTGCCTCGGAGCGCTTCGCTGTTACGGGGGCCAAGGCGGCCGGCACCGCGGTGCTCGCGCTCATCTTCCTGTACCAGATCTTCTACTGCATCTGCTTCTCGCCTCTCCCTGTGGCGTACTCGGTCGAGGTCCTCCCGTACTCCATCCGCGCCAAGGGCATGGCTACCTATGTCTTTGCCACCAAGATTGCCGTCTTTGTGAACCAGTTCGTCAACCCGGTTGGTCTCGACAACATTGGCTGGCGTTTCTACCTCGTCTACGTGGCCGTGCTGGCGGTCGAGAGCGTCATTGCGTACGGATGGTTCCTGGAGACCAAGGGCAAGGCGCTGGAGGAGATTGCAGAGATCTTTGATGGCGAGGCGGCGAATGTGCGCGTCCACGGTGACACGGAGGGCAAGGGGATGATGGAGGATCCGACGACGTTGCAGGAGGAGACTGTGGTCAGGAAGAGCTGATTGGGCAAGGGGTCATGCTGCAAGCGGTTGTATGCTGTTGTGGGATGGGAGTCCAGGCTCTATGGGACATGGTTCAATAGACTGGATACCAAGCTTCACTGCGAATAAGCTTCGTATTGTCAACACAACATGTCCTAGCAAGAGTCAAATAACGCGAGATCTCAAAAGACTCATGTATGCAAACAACATCATCATCACACGCTGTCTACCCATCCCTGCGCCCACCGCCCACACCAGTAGTGAGCGAAACGCCGGAATAGAATGCAATATGTACATAATAACCTAGCGTAGTCACAATTCAGATCACCTCCGGATACCCATCGTCCCCAGCCTATCACAACTCGGTGTCTTGACCGCATTGGCATGCGCCATCTTCTCATCATCCTGGAAGAAGAACCCCATGGCATTCTCCCTCAGCCGTCGCTTGTAGGCAATTTCATTCTCGCACTGCGACCGCAGCTGCCGCACGAGACTCACCTCGGCCGTCTGGTCGAGGCGGTCGAGCTGGGCGTCCGTGTGTTTGCTGATATCGGCGGGGTTGACAAAGTAGGGGACCTTGTAGTTGGGCGTCGCGCGGGCGTGCGTAAAGGGGTGGATGGGGTTGTCAAAGACCATGCGCGGCGTCGCGGGCGTGCTGTCGCCAAAGTTGAACAGGGAAGTGATCATGGGCAGCACGAAGAAGAGGAGGATGGGCAGGAGGCTGATGAGGTTCGAGAGCGGGTTCTGCTCCTGCTGTTGGCCCTGCGGTTGGCCTGCGCGAGGACGTCCGCGCGGACGGCCGCCGCCGAATTGGTGCACGCGGATGCCAGGGCCGCCGCCAAAGTTGAAGACGAACTCAGGGCCTGTGTCAAATGCTGCCGGGTCAGCCGTCTGTCCTTTCGAAGGTCCGTGGGACAAGAAAAAGGGGTGCGTTCACTCACCACCAAAGCCGCCTCCGCCAAAGCCACCGCCTCCACCAAAGAAGCGCGCAAACATCTCCTCGGGACTGACATCCTCGTCAAACATGCCACCGCCTCGTCCCCCAAAGCCCGGCGGTCGCCCCCCGCCACCACCGCCGCCGCCTGCTCTCGACGCAAAGCCCGAAAAGGGGTTCTGTGCCTGCGCCTGTCCGAACCGACTGTCCGGATCCCCACCAAACCGATCAAACTGCTCCCTCTTCTCCTTGTCGCCCAGGACGCCAAAGGCGCGGCTGACCATTTTAAAGGCCTCGTCGGCTTTGTCGTGGCCATTCTTATCTGGGTGTGTGAGCAGACTTTGTTTGCGGTAAGCCTTTTTGATGTCGGACTCTGTGCATGTCGTCTTGACGCTCTCGAGAGCGAGAATGTCGTAAAAGGCAGTCGGCGCGCACCGACGGATGCGGATGACGGCCTTCTCCTGCTCGGCGGTATATGTACGGCCCTGGTTCCCCTGTTTGTGGTCGTGGTCGCGCGCGCGGGCGGAGCCACCAGTGTCGGCGCCCGAGGCGGTTGCGCTGGGCATGGCTGTGGTCTATGAGAGAGTCGAGGGCATGAGCTGGTGGTGGATAGGCGCTGTGTGGTAGATATATATCGTGGGGGAGTTTGGATACAGGTCGTCCGTCCTTTAGTCGCTCGTGCCAATCAATGGGAGCGGCGTTTCGATCGAGGGGTGCGGGATGCTGACGTATATGCGATGAGGAGTATGTGACGAGTTTGTGGGCGTGGATGAATGAGCGACAGGCGATGGTTGGCGGTGCGAGAGATATTTTCTGTTGGACGAGGACGAGCGACAAGGACAGATATCGCAAGGACGCCGCTGATCTGGATTCTGGAGGGTCTGGAGAGTCTTGGCACTTGGTCAACGGACTTTCGCGGAGTTGTGGCGCACGTGGCGGAAGTGTGTGGCGCGCGCTAGTCACGTGGCTGCTCAGTAGGTTTCTGGGGATCTCAAACTCAATGGCCTTGAGTCTTTGACTACTGCAAGCAACATCACAGTGCACATATTGTCTTGCTACAAGCGTTCATTCATGATCTACAACACTGCTCACGCCCCGATGAACGGCTGGATCTCGCTCAGCATGTTCTGGTACGCAACACCGGTCGGCGGCTCCATGCTGAACATGTAGTCTCCCCACCAAGGTCCCGCCGCCCACCACAGCCAACCCTTCCAGACGTCACTGTTGTCCAGCAAAAAGTCCAGCTCATTGACGACCGCCTGCTTGCAGACATCATTGTTCGCGCCGGCCGTCTCGCCGAGGATGCCAATCTTGCCATTCTGGCGGAGCCACTCGGTCGCCTCCTGGAGACGCTCGACGCCAATGGTAGCGGACACACACTCGGTGTGGGTGCCGGACGAGTCCGAGTCGAGGTACTGGTGCATCTCGTAGACGATCTTGTCCTGGGGATCGGAGAGGTCGAGCATGGACTGACCGTTGCCGGACGAGACCCAGCTCCAGGCGCCGCTCCAGGCGTTGCCCTCGACCCAGATCCACTGGCTCGTGGCGCCGGCCGCGCGGATGGCGTCAATGGCGGCCTGGTTGAGGTCGTGCACCAGCGAGTTGTCCATGTCGTGGTACTCGTTGTTGGTGTCGAAGATGACGCGCTCGTTGGAGGCGAAGCGCGAGGCAATCTTGGTCCACCAGGCAGAGAAGCCGTCAACGTCGTTGATGATGTTGCCGTAGTAGCGGCCGTAGTTGTGAGGGTCAATCACAGCATAGTGGCCCCTGAGTGGGTGATATCAGCACAAGTTTGCCGTACGCCTTGGGCGGGAAACAACTCACTCCCCAGTAATGTGGTCGACGATGCTCTTCAGACCGTCGAAATACGTTTCGTTGATGGGACCGCTGATGTCGTCGGGTACGAGACGCTCCATCCGGGTGCCCACGCGGAAGGTGTTCATCCCCGTGGCAGCAAGTGTCTGCCTCCGTCAGCCAAGGGTTCTTGCGTATAGCCTGATATGGATATACTCACGTCCACAGACTCGGGCGTGGGCCAGATGTAGTGCTTGCCCAGCTGGCCGGGGAACACGGTCTCGCCAAACTCGCCTCCAGCTTGGTTGGTGCCAGTCCAGGTGAACTGCTGCGCGTTGACACCGGCTGCGGCCGCCGCAGCGACGAATGACTTGGTGAAGTGCATGCTGCTTGTGTTTCCAAAAGGTACTTGCTCGCGCCCAATGTCATGATTCACACAAACGCCGTCGAAACATCTACTTATACATCTACTTCTCGGAGGCAGTGCCTCCGGGGGAAGTCACTCTGATGATCATGATGAGACGAGGCGTGGGGATGTTGGCCGAGAGGCCGGCAAAGATGCCGAGGCAAACGACCAGCAATTGGAGATTCAAAGGTGGAAAGTGCGCAAGTTTGTCCGTGAACATTGTTTCACGGTGATTAGTACTGCCGATGATGGTAGCAGTCTCGGTACGTGTCGCTCCGCATCGTGGCTTGCCCCTGTTCCGGATCGTGTGGGGGAGCAGGGGTTCCTTCTGAACAGTAGGAGAACGGACAAATGATCTGCGAAAATTGCAGAATAATATATTAATTAAAGGACTGTAGACTTGAGCCACCCCCGGATCACGGCACCTGCCTGCTGGTACGTGATCGCATTGATGTTTGGAAACGCCTAGTAGTATTCCAAACTGCTGAACCAGGGCCAACCAGGCTTGATGTCATCCAAGCCCTCGTTGCGTTAATTTGCTCCCATCTTCACGTCCAAGTCTTCCTCCTCCTTCTTGACACCAAGTTCTTTCATTCTCCCCATAGTAGCGTCGCTCGCTATCCCCTCAGCATCCGCCGTCTGCCTGGCGGCCCTTGATGCCAAGTCGTCCAGCTTTCTGTTCTTCTTCCCGCGAACGAAATCCATCATCTTCATTCCATCAGGCTTGGTAGGTGCCAGCAAGGGCTTGCGTCGGCTCTTGGGTGTTTTCTGTGCCATCTGCGCATGGTAGTCGAAGCCTGCTTTGCTTGCTCGCGCAGGCTGAAAACGGCCTCCTTGTGTCCCTGGGGCAAATGAGACTCTGTGCCGGGGGCCATGGGGCCGAGGTGGTCGTCTTTGGTTCTTTGCTGAGGGTCCAGGCTCTCCTGGTCCCGGTGTTCTACTTTTCAGGATTGACCTATTCATCTGTTGGGCTGGTTGTCGCTCGATTGCTACAGTAGAAGACTGTGTGTTGGCAGCAGGGGCCGCAGTCGAAGATCCAGCCGTTTCTGCTCCAAAGACTGGGATGTTATTGAAGACCCTTTCTGAAGCAAAGAGGTCATTGAGCGACTCTGTCTTGATCTGTGACTCGGGGGAACTTTCGCGCTTCGTGCGTAGTGGTAAGTCGTTCATCCTGGGTAAGAAGTGATACTCGATGACATCTAATGGTTGTGGGCTGGGATTTCTTGGAAGTTGATGACTGTGAGTGTTGATTTCAAGTAGGCGCAAGGCTTAACGAAACAAGGCACCTTATGATTCTGTCTTGATTTCTTGGTCTTGCCGTACTTGCCTCCCGCTGATCCCCATGGTCACCGATATCTGGCACCGCGCCTGCCTCTTCGAGAAGACATGTGGCTTCGGGTAAGAATCAATCGTCTCTCTGGTTAACCAAGTCTTGATCATAAGTGAAACAAGAGATCAAGTAACACTTGGGTAAGATACCTACATTTGGTAAAGGTCCCACGGTCTCAGGTGGCAGTGATTTAATCTTTATCTAAAATATAATGCTCAGCAGGCTGAATATGGCAGTCAATAGTCGGATAACCACCGGTTAATTCATCCCAGCTCTCCTCACAAAGCCTCCTCATCGTAGCGAGTGATCGTGAACGATCGACCATCGCCATGCCGTGTCATTTCGCTACCCAATGTAACCAGTCATCAATGCCCTTTGAAGAACAACATCCGCCTACCACGTGTTCTGTACATTGGATTTATCTCTTGTCACAACCAAGAGTGGCTCCTCCTCGGGTGGCTTCACCTTGTCTTCCTCAGTCGTCAGGCTCATTCACCTTCCCCCTTGTTAGATCCAACGGAGATTCCGGTCGAAGTGACGCCAGCGGGGAAACGAAAGAGAAAGAAGAAATAACCACCACGGAGTCCTTGTTCATTGCTTCGAAGTAGACAGCGGCCTTGCCAACTTTTGTAATCTGATCTCGACGCCTGTTCTTGGGCCTCTTGCGTCGTTGCGTATACATTTAGGGGGCGCAGTGACTGACTGGCCCCATGTTCAGAGCTGGCCACCACGCACAACCAACCCATCGACATGTACAATGCAGAAATAGATGTGACCATGTTTGCTGCATAGCCCAGAGCCTCGTTAAAAAAAACCGTATTATCAGTAGGTACTGACGATCTACCATAGCCTCCATATACTCTGTCCGCCATACAATTGCTCAATTCTTCGTCTTCTTCTCTTTATTTGCCTATCGTCTGGTCTGATCAAGACACCTTGTCTGAGATCACAATTATTCTCGTTCCACCAGTCATCTCCGAGATTTTTACTCATCCATCATCCGTTGAGACGAGATCCTTTGTATAATGAGGAACAGCAGATCAGAACAGCGAGGATGAACATTCACTATCTGACGAAGATGCTGATGCTAGGGCAGCTGTGGGCCGAATGTGCAGCCTGACTAAGCAGGGCAGTCACTGGCCTGGCACACAACACTTTGTGCCTTTAATATTCTTGAAGTGATCGAGGAAGCTGGTGAGAGTTTCCCACAGTGGCATCAAGTTGGCGTTGGTATATGAGGGCAGCGTGTGCGCGGTGGCCGAGTTCAAGTTGGCGTCCCGCGGATCTTGATATTGTCGGATATTGTGTAGACCATGAGAAAGAGGGTTTTAATGCAACAACGTACCAGGGACGTGCTCTTGTTTGAGGCGCCTTCAGCGGGCGTTGTTCTCTGCCCGTTTGTATCCGGCCGCTGCCCCTTTCGAAGACCAAGCGCAACGCGAGGCATCGCTCCTGGAATTGAAGGATCTTGTTTCGCATGGACTTTGTTTGAAGTGATGATTAGAAATCTGGCGTAAAGTTTCTGATAGTGACCGCCCATGCTTTTGAGCTCTGATTTGAAGCGAGGTTCGAGAAAGATGTTGACTGATTGGGCATTGATGCCGATGGCGACCATGCCATTGTTGTCTTGGAATTTCGTAGTGTTCCTCTCCAGGCCATCAATCGTCTGTTTTCATGTTGCCTCTGTTCTTCCTATCACACGGTCCAAAAGGGAAATCCACTGTGCTCTGACTGTGGCCAATTCGCGAGAATCCGCACAACTTGCGACGGGTGTCAAGAGAGGGCCGTGCTCGATAGAGCTCCTGCGAGACTTGTTTTGTTGGGGATGACTTTCTCGCCTCCTCCCATTCCACTGGTTCCCATCGATCACAAGGGGTGCCATCGGCGTTGTAGTCTGGTGCAGGTCTCCTCCGGGATGAGAGCAGTGGCGTTGTCATTGCTGCCTCCTCACTGGTTACGGGGCTGATGATGGCAGACTTCCCACAACGAGACGGGAGCTCTCAAGTTCGTCAACTTTATCCCTGAGTTGAGGAGCCACAAAAGAGGAGCATGAAGCTCTGGAGCAGTATGAGCAGGGAATGAAGGGTGATAAGCTGACGGTCCGGGAGACGATGGTAATGTGTGGACGTAGGCGCCGGGGTTGTACCTCGTGATATCCAGAAATGATCGCAAGGGCTGCGGCAGTTCTGTAGCCTTCTGAGAAACGGGGCGACTGGGGTAGTGTTACCATACGCAGAGTTATGATATGGGTGGAATTGAACTTGTGATGGTGGTGAATGGTACCGATTGTTTCCCTGAAATCGAGATTGGGGTGTTGTCAAGTCAGCTAGGAGAAACATGGTTCTTCTGCCGCATTGACATTGGTTTCTGGAAGGCAGACGCCACATCTTCCATATCCTCCTTCATCTGGGCGCCTGCGCCCCGAGACGTGGTGTTGACTTCAGGGATGTGGATGCCAAAGTCGACGGTCGAGAGTGCATGTTCCGGAGGCTGTGGGATTCGTAGGTTGAGCGTAGACTTCCTTGGGTAGACTTCAGCTACTATGCTCAGCAACGCTTCGTCGGATCCCGCGTGCCTTGGCCCCATCTGCCTCCGAGTGGGCACCGGAGGCGACGCGGGCGTGCGGTCACGTTCTGTTGCTCGTGTACGTGGTGCGGCTGGTGGTGGTGATGCTTGTTGTGGCGCTGATGCGAGGTTGTTGTCGGGTCGCTCTCCTGTCGGGTGAGCAGGGATCTTCGTCTGCAACAACCGTTCTCCAGCCTCGTCCACCGTGCTTCCAATAGCCCTGAGCATCTTGTGGTATGAAAGGCCGTAGCGGTTGGGCAGGGGGTCGAGGTTGAGCTGCTCCTCACCAGGTTGTATAATCCACGCAGCCAAGGGCGTCGGGGGTGTTGTCGCGGCCCCATCGAACGAATGCCCGTGTTTTGAAGTTGATGTGCAATGGATCTTTGGCAAGACACTGCGAGCTCACAACTCCTTAGCTGATCAATCAGTGGCTTCTCCAAGGAGGATCGTTGGCAATCCATCCTGATGGGTTGAATGAGGAGGAGGAAGTACGGTGAGATCCTAAGAGGTGGACGTTGCTGCTAGGCAGAGGACGATCTTTGGTCGGCACTCCATTTCGTCGGACTGGGATGACAACGAGGAGGCGCGCTACAGGCGATTCGGCTGTGCAGGCGAGGGTTGGTGAAGGCGAGCAGACCGGCCCGTGTTAGGGACGTGAGAAGAAGCAGGGAGAAGATGGGCGGCGGCGGAGGATGCGCCAGCGTCGAGTGGGAGTCGCGCGCCATAGTCCAGTCGTACTATGCTGCAGGACGGTATATGTTGGGGGTAGAAGTTCAATAGCAGAGGAGCGGGCCAAGGAGAAGTTGCGGCTAGGCAGGACGTGGCAGACCTATCGTCTGACAATGCCACCCAGCCGAATCAGCCTTCTGAGTCTTTTCTTCCGCCTCGCTCGCAAACTTATACGACGGTATACAAGTTTGAGCTGCCGGCGAGGGATCACATCGCAGAGGTGCCTCGTGAAGCCGCCGACACAGAAGCATTTGATACCGAACAGGTGACCAAGGGCGCAGCTACCTTCGTTCGGGTCCTGGTGGTGCGCATTCGTCGTCCGAGGTCCCATTTCCTAGCATCCGGTAGACGTCGAAGGCCTGGTACCTTTAGACCTGTTCCTCCTTGGTCGCGACATGCCAAGCCTCACCCGCCTGATTGTGGGTGAAAAGGCAGGTCAGCAAGGAACAGGTGACGGAAGTGGGCGAGATTGTCGACGAGTCCGCCATTCGCCAGCACGGGCCCATGGTGTTGTCCAGGCCTTCTCTGACCGCACATCTTGTAACGTGGGTGAATGGCGCGGGTAGACCATTCGCCAAACACAACCATCCCGGGGATGATTCATGGGCTCACCAAAAGCTCAATTTGTACTTCCTCGTCAAAGAGCGCGAAGGCCAACGTTCCCATGACCGGCAAAGCCCTCCGATACTTGGCCCTTTGATATATATACTCGAGCTCCGTCTCGGACTTCAAGCTCAGCTTGCCTGGGCCTCGACTATTCACACATTGCTGGCACTACCAGACAATCTTGAACAGTTGAGCCTTTGTCAGGGGCTAAGCCGTGTTTGTTTTCGTGTTTGTGAGTCCTCTGTTCCTCGCAGCCTCAATGTCGTCGACTAGGAGGGGCAACGGGTCCTCCTCGAGATCTTGGGGTTCTTCGACAGCTTGACGTGGTTTGTTTCGGTTTGTTTCGGTGTGTGTTGGCTCACTGTTTGGGGACTGGAGTGAGAGTGCGGTTGGGTCCCATGTCTAAGATCCGAAGTATGCCAGAGGCTTGATACTGGCGTAGGTCGTATCGATTCCCAGTCGTCGGTCCAGGCAATGGTGTGGTAGTGGTGACAGGGACCCCGACGGCAACCTGGTGAGCGCTGTCGGGACGGGTCGTGGGTGCGATGCGACGAGCAAGAAGGCGGCTAGAGGTCTCACCGGCACAGCTTCCTGTCTTGACCATCTCTGCCTCAGCACCTTTGGCCTGCTGCCACTCGTCGTAGTACATAGCGCCCGGGCGGGAGAGCATGGGCACATTGAACGACACTGGGTTCGAACGCCCCTTCTGTGGCAGGGGTGCGTTGAATGTGAACAGTGTCTTGAAACTCCCACACTGGAGCAGGGTGACCGTGCCCACGAAGACGCTGCTCTCCTCCCCGCAGGCCGGCACAAAGATGTAGAGGTGGGCGATCCGGCCGCTGGCCGCGCGGTTGCCCCGGTCGAATATGAACGAGCCGTACTCGTCCGTGTCCGTGAAGGGTGACGAGGCCGGCAGTGAACCGCCGAGAGTGGGCGGCGGCGGCAAAAGTAGGCATGTCGTCCTCAGGCAAAGGGAACTCTGGCGGGACGGTCGCCAGGGCGCTGGTGGTCTGGATCTGGCTCCTCACGCGACAGGTCCAGCTCCTTCCTCAAGGCGGGAACCGGCCTCTTGGAGCGCGCCAAGGCAGCCCAGGCTTTTGTGGTCTTGAACGCCTGGAATCTCCGATCTGCGCTTTGTCTCCTCGTCTCCGCGGCCGCAGTATTGATGGGGGCCAGCATGTTCTCGGGCGAAAGTCCGCCAGAAACCAGTCATGGGAAGGGATCGGTCATGGTGCCTCCAGTCACCTCCGCTCCACGTCTGCCAAAGCCATGTATATAGAAGGTTCGTCTGATGGTGATGGTGTTGGCTGGACAGTCTCGAGGTGGAGTTCCAGCTGCGTATCTGGCGTTCGCGATGCTATTCCGGACTGGGTATTCGAGATACTTGGCAAAGCGCTCAGCTGGTGGTTTTTGGTGCTTGACACGTAGTCAAAGGGGACTGCGTGAGGCCGACAGAGGAGATAGCGCGACCGGGGGGGATGTAGCTCGATTAGAGCGAGAGGAGTGAAAGTGAGGTGGGCGCGTTGGCCAAGGAGAACAAGGAAACTTGAGTTGTGGGTTTGCTCCCTGGTGGATATCCCCCATCGCAACCATGGACTCCAAAGGGTGGCCAGACATCCTGTGCAACTCCCACCGGACGTGGGGGGGATCGCATCCCAGGCCGGAGTGGAGTCGTTCTTGATCTGCTCAAGGGTGTGGTGTGCCGCATCGCGCAAAGGTGTGGATGTGTCATAGGGGGAACTTGGCGGGTGTTTCGATTCAGACAAGGTCTGGAAACGTTAGTAAGGATCATGCTTTAGCACAGGGTCTGCCAGTCACTTGCCCTCAGCTATTGCAAGCTCCGTTTCCTCACCATGAGCCACTGCTGGCGACGAGGAATGTTGTAGCAGAGGCGCTCCGTGCACTGGCCCCGGAATAGTCAATTGGATCGTGGTCTCAAGGGCGCAGGAAAGACTCGCGGTGGTAATGTAGAGAAATGGCCTTGCGGAGTTAGGGACAGAAGCGCTCCCATGTCCTGGGGAGACACAGGGGGCGGCTGAGTTGCGTCGAAAGCTGTCCACACACAGCGTCGCTGAAGGCGTATATATATACAGAGAGGAAGAAAAGAAGGGCAGAGGATCTGGGATCTCATCGCATATAAATACTTTTGGAAGCCACTGCATTCACTCCAATCTATGGGTCTGTGAGTGACGTCTCTGGCATTCACTCGGGCGGAGATTTTCATCTGTGTGACAAACACTCGCCACGGCTACGCGAGACCAGTTGAGGAGGTCAGCCAATGGATACAGTTTGCTTTCGCCGAAATGCACTCTGCAAACCGCACTGCCTGAAAGAAGAGCCTGGAACGTGTAGAATGATCGATATGTGGGAAGATCATTGGCACCTCAGCATCTGCCTAGATGCGCGTTTGTTTTGATTTACCCCTGAATGGCCCACTCCATCTCGCCTTGCAACGCAAATGCTGCCACAGCGCCAAACACATCTTGTAAGCGAGAAGTTTGTATTGAATCGCTTTGATAACAAGCATGATTGTGTGTGGCGCTCTTCTGTGCCGCAAGTCGCATTGTTTGAGTGCCCTTCTCAAGCACAGTGGTGAGTCACTTGCCGGCCCGCATGTACATGCATCCAGCTTGAAGGTCAGTACCCGTGTATCGAAACTTTTAGACACACAATCGCAGAACACACAGAGACAAACAAGTGACTCTGCCTGTCATTCAGCTCGGACGGACCAGCAGCAGTCGCTCGGGTCGCATCTTGGACGCAAGCTCCAGTCTTCTCGTTGCACACCCGGCGCATTAAGACCAAGATACAGAACACGTGCATTTTCATTGTACCTGTCAAAACAAAAGTGGCATGCAACAAACTCAATTATGTAAAACACCCTCGCGTCCAGAGCATCAATCAATTCGTGCGCCACCCAGCTCGTTCAAGTGACTTGGTATGCAATGCCAAAGAATGTACGCAATCACAGCCCTACTTCTCCATATCCACTCCTGTCTACACCCCCTCCATCTAGAAGGCGTGCCCCGATCTTGTCCGACCCATCGTCCTGTACGTCTGATACTTGCCATCGGTGCCCATCGTATCGAATCGTTCCTCACCCATAGCGTCGGACATGAAACCACTAAAGTAGTAACCAATGAGCACCACGACGTAGGTCAGCACGAGGATGCTGCCCTTGAAATAGTTGCTCTTCCCCTCGCCGTAGACGTAGCTGAGAAGGAACACGCAGAGGATGACGGTGACCATGTCCCATTGGGGGAACAAGAGGGAGAATGTGTAAGACGCCACGTCCTCTCCGGCGGGGACGGTGTGGTACACGGCAGAGTAAAGGACGAGCGCGGGGATCTGCAGCAAGCAGACTTGCAGAGCGTATGCGGAACCAATCTCCATGGACAGGGCAATGTTGCCGTTCATGGCGAAAGAGATGGCGTTCTGCAATCGTTAGCGGTGTACTTGCATTTCCAACAGAAGATACTTACCAGAAACTCAGTGGTGTTGGGAACAAGGGCAAACAATGTGATACCGAGGAACTTTTGATCAATCGCAAAGCTCTCCAGCACGACATCGACAGTGTCGACCAGGATCTCCGCGATAATGGCGTACATCACAGTGGCCGCGAGAAGAATGACCGTGCTCTTGGTTCGACTCCAGTTGGGCGCATCGTGACCACCGTGTTCCGCCTGCCCAGCACCCGCGTCAGGCGCCGGCTCTTCCTCATCATGAAAGGCGCCGGCTCTAGTGGCTTGTGTCTTAGAATGAGCAGCAGAGCCATGCGTCGCACTTGCGTTGGTCGAGCCGTGCGGTAGGCCAGAGTGCTTGCGATGCTGGCGCTCCCTTTGCGCCAGCGTCGCAGCCGTCGCCGCAATTTCCGCAACCTCCCTCACAAGCTGTCGGTTGTCGGCCTCACTAAGACCGGGGACATGAATCTTGGTTCGGGCTGCATCGCTTGACCCATCCTTTGGCGGCACCACGTGAGGCGTGGCTGGTGCGCCGTTTGGATTCAGTGTGTCTTGCGTGGCACTAGAGCCTTGACGAGTCAGGCTTCCCGAGCGAGAGGGCATGCCAGCCTGCTTCAGCGATTGCCCAAGGATGCGCTTGTAGATCTGCGTGTCCCTGATATCCGTGCCGGTGCTCTCGCCGCCAACAGTGGTGGGCTGGGATGTGCGGACCATGGACGACTGCATGTCCTCGTGGCGCTTCTCTTCAGCCTCGGCATTCCAAATGACCGCCGCGTGTGTGCGGAGAGTGAACCACAGCCCGATGAGGTAGGACAAGAATAGCAGAGAGGCGGCCATGTAGCAATATGGCCGAACAGCTTCGAGGTAAAAGCGGTCGTTCAGTGCTGGCACTTGCGAGAAGTAGCATTTGCGGCAGTCTCGGGAGCCACCGAGTAACGGATTGTCGGAGAAGGACTCATCGCAGTCGAGACACTGGAGTTCGTGCGTTCCGTAGATTTGGTAAAAAAGTGTCGGGCCGAAGGCTCCCACGACAGCAAAGAGCAGCATGGTGGAGGTGACACCGGCCGACTTTGCGTTGAATCGCTGGGTCTTGCGCTTCAGCGCGCCAAAGCACATGGACAAGCCCGGCAAGAACAGGATGCCGGCAAAGATGCTACCGACAATGCTTCCCTCGACGAGCTGCCCCTTGCCCTGGGACAGGGCCACGCAGTACAAGAAGACCTCGACAACGGTGGCAAAGAAGGCATTGACAGCGGCACCCAGGCCCATGGAGGACTGTGCTGAGATGGAGGCAACGGCTTGGCCGATGAAGTAGGCCAGGGGGATGATTGACAATAATCCCATGGTGAAGAGGAACGCCGGCGATGTGATGAAGTTCTCCACATGGAGGACCCTCTCAATGACCGCCCAGTCGAAGATAACAAAGACTACGACAGCCATCAGGTTGATCAGGAAGATGTTGGTGCCATCAATCGTGTACTTCCAATACTTGGACCCGACGGCGCGGTATGTGCACAGCAAGATGGACGAGTCCGGGGCCGCGCTCGACCGCGAATAACTAATATCGGGCTCGAAAGACAGCGCCAGAGGGTGTCGTCGTAGGTGCGAGAAGAGCAAGATGGTAACCTTACCCATGGGGATCCAGAAGACGAGGAACCAGCATATGGCCGACACGATCAGCAGTGATGGCGAGATGAGTCCGTAGAAGAATACAAAGAAGATAACACGGCCAATGTTCCACTCGCCGCGACCAAATAGACGTCGCTTCATTGGGGGATGCATTTCAGCGCCTTCGCCGCGCCGCCGACGTCCAAGCAGACTTTCCGTCTCGCTGGCTTCGGAGTCAAGGCTCCTTCGCGAACGCCCAACAATCGACCGGTTGTTCTCGCTCTCGGGGCCGAAGAACAGACGACCATATTCCAGGTCGCCCTGCTGCCACTGCTCGTACTCGGAGATGCTGCGGCCTTCATCCTGGTCCTCGTGTAGGTATGCCTCGTCCTTCTCCAGGCGGACAAACTTGCCAAAGGGGTAGAAGAGATAACCAGCGACGCCCCACAGCACCCTGCCATACTCTCTTCCGCTCGGAGCAGCCGCGAACAGTAGGCACACAATGGCGCCCAGAGCAGCGAAGGAAGCCATCCACCAGCCAAAGGCCAATGTCCAGATCAGATTGAACAGGAGTAGCCAGCTGTTAACGCGTCCTCCGGGCGTCGAATGGATATCAGCCTGGGCTGACTTTTGGATCGAGCGATCCTTCTTGTACAAGGCGGGCTTCCACACACGGATACCAAACGGATGGGTCTGGTTGATGGCCTGCTGCCTGTCCTTGAGCGTGAAGCTCTCGGCGTCACTCACATCGCTATCATCGTCCGAGTCCACGCGCTCGTCGGAGGGTTCCTCGTCAGGGTGCTCGTCGAGGGCCTCTGGAGATTCGTCCTCGACTTCTGTAGGCTCCGATGTCGTCGGCTCGGGGTCCAGCTCCGTCTCCTCTTGTCGCGAGTGCACGCGTGAAAGGCTCGGGGGAGCCTGAGCACGGCGGCGCGTCCCGTAGTTCGTAGCTTCGCGTTCGCGAGCACCACGCTGCACAGCGTCGGCCTCGACTTCGGTCGGACCGTCATCGGCTGAGAAGACAGCGCCGCGGTGGGGCGTGGTGGACGAGATTCTTCGAGGCATCGGGGGTTTTCGCAAACGGCTGTAGGACTTGGCCCGGTGTGGCTGCGGCGACTGAGCTGGCTGCTCTTGACGTGACCGTGATCGTTCTTGGGGAGTAGCTGGGTTCGGCGGTCGGCTGCCCGACGCGGCAGGGTTGGCTACGGTGCCATAGCCTTCAGGCCTGCGCCGGATCGTGTCAGTCGAATGGAAGCTTTCGGATAGGCCTTGTCCCTGGGCTCTATTTGAATTTCGGCTATCGGTTTGCGACGGGTTCTCCGACTCTGCATGCTGCTGATGCTGCGCAGGCTGGTCGTCGGCATGAGATGAAGAATCCATTGCACCTGAGTATGGTGTTTGGTAACGATCAGACGTTTTACTTCATGACAGGGCGAGATTGACGAGTGGACGAGATTTGGCGCGGAGAGCAAAATTCCCAGGTTGTTTGAATCGGGGAGCTGGGGAAGGGCGGACTGGCAGATACAAGTCTGAGACAAGACAGGGTTCAAGAAACACAATAATCCGGAACGATGAGGTAGTTGAGTTCGTGTTTGGGCCAGACACGGCAGAGTTGGTTGCAAATCAGCAATCGATGAAGCGAAGTTAAGGTAAGGTAAGGTACAAAAGGTTGGGCTTGAAGGTGGTTGGAGAGCTCTTGGAGTTCCGTCGGAGGAAAGACCACGGACGGGGGTCCACGTAACATGTCGACTTGGCGTCGGCACGGACGTACCGGACGATAATACGGCGTACGATTCATTGACAGTCACGCATGATAATGCACGGGCTTGTTAAACTGCTAGGGTAATGAGTGCTTCTCGTGCGGTCAACGTGCAATGGCAATGCAAAGCAGCTGCACGACGCTTCACCAGAGGCTTTCAGCCAACCCCCAAACTAATAAGGCCGGCCATCCTCCACACAAACAGCGGCAAATGTGGGCTTCCTGCGCTTGTGATCTTATCATCCTGCCCGTAGGTGGTCTTGGCACCAAACGCCCCACGTTCCAGCGTCATGAGCCTGGAGGCGCGCGGACAGAATGAGCTGCATGTTTGAGTCTGGTGATGCTGTCCGTGGCGGATGATCGCTGACACGGCATGGGGGTTGAACAACACCGAGGGCTGCCATGGCGATATCACGAGGCACGAATTGATAGAAAGAATTCAACACATAACAGACTCTGAACCCTTTTAAAATAATGGTTCGATAACAGTGCCAGGGTCCAAAATGCTTTACTCATGTTCGAGACGTAGCGGGGCGGAAAAATGTGTCTTCCGGCGCTGCCCAACTGCTTGCGTTGGCGCTTTTGCCTGCAGCAGCTTACGAGATTCGAGCTGCAGCCTCCAGCTCCAGCTCCATCTCCGACGTCAACTTCCACCACAACACCGACGACGACATCATCACCACTAGTACATCTGCCAATCGACGATAACCCCGACACATTAAATTTTTCGCAAGGAGGAGACGCCGACCCTTTCCCTGCTCGACATCAGAGACCCGTCAGAACCGCCACCATGGCGCTCGACGAGTACTACCGCAACAAGATCGAGAGCATGAAGCTCGAGATCCTCAAGGGCCAAGCTGCTCTCCGACGTCTCGAAGCTCAACGAAATGACTACAACTCGCGCGTGCGGTTACTGAGAGAGGAGCTCGGTCTGCTGCAGCAGCCGGGGTCCTATGTCGGCGAGGTGGTCAAGGTGATGAGCACCAAGAAGATCCTCGTCAAGGTGCACCCAGAGGGCAAATACGGTAGGTGCAACGATCGCCATAGGAGGGCAAGATCTAACACGGAACAGTGGTCGACGTGTCAGACAGCGTGGACGTCGGCAAGCTCACGCCTGGCAAGCGCGTGACGCTCCTATCCGACAGCTACAAACTTGAGAAGCTCCTCCCTTCCTCTGTCGATCCCCTCGTCTCGCTGATGATGGTCGAGAAGGTGCCGGACAGCACATACGACATGATTGGTGGTCTGGACCAGCAGATCAAGGAGATTAAGGAAGTCATCGAACTTGGTCTCAAGCACCCCGAGCTCTTCGAATCGCTCGGCATCGCACAGCCCAAGGGCGTCCTGCTCTACGGGCCCCCCGGTACAGGAAAGACCCTGCTGGCACGAGCGGTCGCGCATCACACGGCTTGCAAGTTTATCAGGGTCTCGGGATCAGAACTTGTGCAAAAGTACATTGGTGAGGGTAGCCGCATGGTCCGAGAGCTGTTCATCATGGCACGTGAACATGCGCCTTCAATCATCTTCATGGATGAGATTGACAGCATCGGTTCCTCGCGTGTCGAGGGCTCCTCTGGTGGTGATTCAGAGGTCCAGCGAACAATGTTGGAGCTGCTCAATCAGCTGGACGGTTTCGAGCCGACAAAGAACATCAAAATCATCATGGCCACCAATCGTCTCGACATTCTCGACCCAGCGTTGCTACGACCCGGACGTATCGACCGCAAGATCGAGTTCCCCCCACCTAGCGTCGAGGCACGTGCAGACATTCTGCGCATTCACAGCAGGAAGATGAACCTGACCCGTGGCATCAACCTGAACAAGATTGCAGAGAAAATGAACGGTTGCTCGGGAGCCGAGCTGAAGGGTGTCTGCACGGAAGCTGGCATGTACGCGCTGCGTGAGCGCAGAGTGCACGTCACACAGGAGGACTTTGAGCTGGCGACCGCCAAGATCCTCAACAAGCACGACGACAAGGAGGTGTCGCTCGGCAAATTGTGGAAGTAAGGGATGGGCAAAACACCATAGATGGATTTTGGCGCGGGTTTGGAGGGGAGGTGTTACGGGCTTCATCAATTGTACAAATGGGGCTACATGCCTATTCCACAATGTGTGTCTTTCCGCATGTGATTCTGTGACTATCGAGATGCGGTCCTGGGGTTGTTCTCGCCCTCGGGGACCTTCATGCCGTGCATGCCCCTGTATGGTGCTGGCTCGGACGGCTTCCAGCCCTGGTTGGCGAGGAAGTCCTTGTCCTCCAGCTGATACACCTGGACATGCAGAGGCCGGCACACCTTGATCATCTCAGCCTCGCTGTCGGCCCCAAAGCCCCAAAGCGACAGGTCACCGCCGGGGCAAGTGCTCAAAGCCATAAGGACATCGGTCTCGGCCAGGAACTCGAGCGAGTCGCCCTTTTCCGCGGGGCAGGGGCTCATAAAGTATCGGCCCTCCTTGTCCAGACCGGTCACCTGGAAGATGTTCAAGACATCGTGGACATCCCTCTCCTGCAGGCCCCACGGCATAACAGCCCGGACAAGGTTACTGTGGCAGTGGAAGTCGTACTGGGCTCCGGAGCTCAGGACCGAGTTGACATAGGGGTCGCATCGCGTGCCAAGTAGATCGTGCACGCGACCGCCGTTGATGTCCTTTCCATAGGAGGAAAGGGAGTCCGAGAGAATGGTGACGAGAGGGCGCAGGTAAGGCAGTGTGGACCACAGACGATCATAAGTGGACAGATGCGAGGCGTGCAGTTGGCGAGTCCGTGAAGCCCAGAAACGCTCCGAAGGGTTGTGCAAGTTCCAGACATTGAGATCACCTTGGTCGCGCCGTTAGCTGGAGGCTCTCCTCATGTCTCTCTGAAAGTGCTCAAACACTCACCAACCTGGGGACCTTCAGGGGTGGTGATCCTCACGATCGACCCTGCCGGCGCCTCCCACGCACGACCTGACCGAATGGGCAGCGTGAATTCATTGACCAGCACGCGCGGGGCTTGCTGGATGGAACTGTAGACGTCTTTGTCGACGGCAAGGGGGGAGCCAGCTGAGGGGAGGTAAGCCGGCACTGGGACCGGCACCTTGCGATCCTTGAAGCGATCAGGCCTGGTCTGTTCGTCAGACATGATGATGTTTGAACTTTTTGTTTCTTCTTTTTGCGGTTTCAGTGATGCTGTTCTTGCTTCTTGAGCTATTATAATTATTTGTCTGGTCGCGATATCGGAGGTCTTCTAAGTGGAGGTCGGTTATGGGTGCCTACCCTGTGCTTACCCTGTGCCAAGCGATCATCACGAGATTGGACGGGCTGTGATCGAGATAAAGGCAGAAGTGGTTGATGAATGGGATTCCTATACCGAATAGGTTTATAATAGGTAGATTCGATACTGTTGCATTAATTTGTATGTCTCCTGTTGCGTCGCGTGTCAAACGGCGGGTCGGCTTACACGCCTTCGATGCTAGATAATTAACAATAACATCATCGAAAGTTGCACAATGTCGGACAGCCGTTGATATGTATAAAGGCAAATGGGAAGATTTTATAAAAGCCACCATAGTCTTGTGTCAGAAAGGCATTCATAAGTTTTTGACTAGCCCGCAGACGAGGTGCGTTTGTTGGTCGAGATTGTGGTGCCTAAGGTACATGTAAGTTGCAAATGCTGTTTGGATCAGCGTGTGCATTCATGCATTCATGCACGGAGTACGGAGTATATGCTCATCGATATCATTTCCAGAGCCGCAATGGAAGAGGACGTGCACAGGTGGTTGCCGAGCTCCATCCCGTTTGTCACATGGTCGTGATTCAGGGTGCAACCCGTCCATGGAACGTTGACCACGACGGGGACTTGACAATTGCCGAGAACTACTGGGTACCTTAACGTCGCTTTCCGGCTGAGACAGTCTTTGCCATGATGCCACGTCTGAAGGGCAGCTTTACCTTCTCATCGTTGGGAGTTCCTGTTGCTTAGGCAAGACGGCCTCGAATTCCCTCCCAGAGCACTTACGACTAGGTGGTCCTTAGCGGCGTCCACCCGTAGTCTAGAACGTAGACCACACTGTAGGAAGATGAGACACATCGCTGATCAAGCCAAAAGGGCTTCCTAGAATAGTACGGGTTAGAGTGACAGCGGGCGGCGCAGCGTAGCGCGTAGAGGGACGGGAGGGGAGAAGCAAGTACGGAGTATAGGCACGAGGAAGCGCGAGTGAGCGGCACGCGAGACGTCAGGGTCCTGGGCAATTCCAGAATGCCGTGACCCCCAATTGCAGTCCCGTCTCACGCCCGCCCTTTGCAGGGCATGCATTCCGACTGCTGACCAGCCCCTTTGCGAATGGCTGGACAACAAGACTGTCGGGGTTTGCCGCTTCTCAGCTTTGGCGAAGCGATGGGCTTCACCGAGTCGAAGGGCGTAATCGCATGACGAGTCGATCCCCTCTCGGCTCTGCATCAGTATCTCGCAATGCGACATGTGCCCTCAAGGCGGCGCGGCGAAGAGATTGAGAGACCGGTTTGGTCTGGAGACTGCATAAGACAAGCGTCTTGACTCAACTTGATATACGTAGTACTTTACTAGTCAGAAATGGCCATGGACTATGTGGAAACGCCCGGAGTCTGAGTCGAGCAGGACTAAACTTGGATATGTATCGAGGTCGCGCCTCGAGGCGTGCATGATAAGTTGAGGCTCAAGAGGTCTTGAGGTGGGCCGCCGGAGCACTGCCCGGCGCATACGTACCTACCATGGTGGGGTGAAACCCTCAAGACTAGAATAGCAAGTTGCTAGCAACTGAGACAACGGCCGTGACTCGATCAGATTCTCATCATAATTGTGACCAGCGCGGGCGGAGACGTATGTGCTGATTCGGAGGTGATGCCAGATGCAATGTGGGCAAGGGCAGCAGCCTGCAAGCGGGTGAAACGTGATACTGGCGGTGAAGGGCGGCAGCCTGGGCGGGTGAACCTGGCGCATGGCAGGTGCGGCTCTCACCCTCAATCTTGGAAGGGGGGATTAACTACGTCATTGCGCTTCTGAAGTTCTGCTACACTTTGCGCCGGGTGTTGCGCGATGACACACAGGGTGAGCAGGTGTAATTGTGACAATTAATCAGTCTCGTGTCTGCCATCTAGAACGAGACGAGCTCAATAATGATGGTTTCCAATTCCACGCATCGGGGTTTGAAGACCAACACCTCCTTCAACGTTGATCAAATGGGGGGATGATCAATCGGTCTCTCAACGGTCTCGACTCGGAACGCCCACGGCGTCATGTGGGCGCTAGTCTATAAATGGCGCTTGCTGGGCTCAGTGACGTCGGAACGCAGCGCCACCTCTGCGTTGATTGGCCAGATGTCAAGCGTGGTTTCCTAGTGGGGCATTATATGACGACGGGCTGCTGATTGTTCCAGTTCGAAGAACACGGGAGACTTGAAGGTGGCTGGCCAGATTCTCAAGGAGACGGCCAGTTGTCAAAAGGCGGTTAACGTCGTGCCTTGTTTGAATAGTAAAGCGAGTCAAGGCATGGTAAACTATCGATGTTGAGCAGAAAGAGCATGAAATTTCGTGAGTGTTGCAGCCTGAAGACGAAAACACACAGCCCAATTCTGGTCGGATACGTCTTCTACATCTCACCGAAATAATATAGGCTTGCTGTTTGTGCATTTCATTCTCGTAGCAGCGCACTCATAAATACAAGGTACTACGTACGTAGCAGACCAGAGCAAAGATCATCATTCAGTGCGACGACGTACCCGCTACGTATCTGCTGCGCCCACCACACCACCCGATCAACACCTCTTGGCCCGGAAGTTGTCTATCCTCGTGAGCATTGGAAGTCTGGAACAGCTTCCTTTTGTTATTATTCCTCGTCTTCGGGGTACTTTTTAGCGCAACAAGCCTGCAGACGACGTCCTTGCCGATCTACTCCGTGCAACCGCCTCGTTATCGAAGTACTTGCCCTGCAAGTCTTGAACCCTGTCGTTGAGAGAGGATCGCTCCTGAGCTCGACGCTCATTTGCCCACCGTTCTCACCACCCAACCACGCAGGACTACCCCCCTCGGCCCCTCCATTACAGGCCTAGACGACACACCCACGCATCCAGTCTGCCAATCGTGGAGGGGACCCCTAAAATCGTGGGCTCTGCAACGGTAGGAAACTGCTCATCCTTAAGGTACTATAGTTTCCATCAAGCTTCTTCGGATTCCTTTGTCCCCAGGAGCTGAGTCGTGGGCCGACTCTGTTCAATTTCGACCAGCGCAGAGGCAAACGTCTTGCACCAACCTCATCTACGGCCATCGACCTTGAAAGCATCCAAGCCGCCAGGAGCGTCCTCATTGTATTCTTCTTGCCTCTGACGCAACGGCTCTGCTCCGCGTTAGTAAGGTAGTACCTGGAACGCAGGACCCCTATCAGTACCTCACCACCTCTTCTCACCTGGTTCTTTCATCATTCTTCGCAGCTCCCGACTGCCTTGCCTGAGAAAGCTTGTTGAGCCGTTCCATTGTTTAATTAACCTTTGGAGCTCGCGTCATCCTCTGACGCCTATTATTCCCGTTTTTTCGCGCCGCTGCGACCAGTATTGTCAGTTAGCTCGAGGTGACAACCGCGGCGACCCGATTCTTGCCACACAGTTGTTTCCAGAGGCTGATATTCCTCGCCTCAGAATCTCAGCCCTGCCTGTCTTGGTAATCTTTGCCACATACAGCTGGTCACGTCAGGGCGCCTTGTCCTTAACCGTCTTGCGATACCAAAACCTTTTTTCCCCCGCTGGACCGCCATCTTGCTTCACTTCTTCCTTCTTGGCATTTGCCAGCGCCTGGGCTGTGCTCTTTTCCTCAACTTGACAGCAACCATCGCCTTTCATGACCCGAGACGCCACCATGGCTTTATGAAGTTGTCGAGAGACCTCGATTCGACTTTCACAATCTTAGTCGCCCCGTAACTTGCCGATACAGCAATTCGAACCCGTCACAAAACAATGCACGACGCCGCGCCCGATCTCCATTACACCATGAAGGCCGCAAGTAGGGCTGTCCCGACGGGCAGCTCGCATGGCTACACACAAGCCTATTCTAATTTCGCCGCATCTTCGCATGCACACCCACACTCCCAATCCTCAAACTGCCACCGATCCAACAAAGGCGGCAACTCGACGACTCCCATGGCATCGCCCCGCGGCCCCCACTCGGTCGGACAGCACCATCCGCCCAAATCGTCACCAAATCGAGGTGCCGATAATCGACCATCAAGTCCCAACTACTTCGGCCTCGTTGTAGATTCTACGAACAGTCCCCAAGAGTCCTCGGGTCCAGGACGAAACGCATGGAGCCCACCGACATCGTCGGTGAAGTCTTTCGGCGCTGCGATACAGACCCAGGTCCCGCTTGAAGCCAATCCTGACTTTGAGGCGTTCAGGAAGCAGATTGATTTGAATAAAGCAAACGCCTTTTCGCTCGGAGCCAGCCATGGCAACGGCCCATTGACGCCGAATCCAGTCTTCAAGAGACCGCGCCCGTCAAGATGGCACACACATGCCAGCGATATTGGCTCCGAGATGTCTGTTACGCGATCTACGAGCTACGCACCCCAGCCTCACAAGATGGATGTCGACCACGATACCGCCTCGCACGATTCCGCGTATGTCTCGGCTGACTCGAAGCGCACTTCGGAGTCATCACTCTTCTTGCCCCCGACACTAACTAGTCAACCACGTTTTGAGTCGCCTCAGCCAATGAGCGGCATGCAGCATCGCACTAACCTGACAAGGGCGGAAGATCGCGACCCGCGTCTGTCATTGATGGAACATAAGATGGAGCCTCCGTCGCCGAGCATGGGAGGTTTGGCAAGAGCTGCGACCCTGCCGCATAACGGAGCAGAGGGATCTGGTCCGGCTATGGTTCCAGGAGATGAGCTCAAGGACATGATGAAAAGCATGCCCGAAGACCACCTCCTCATCCTCGATATCCGATCAGCACAGAACTACGCTGCATCGCGTATCAAGGGTGCCCTGAACCTGTGCATCCCCACGACTCTGCTGAAGCGCGCTACGTTCAACATTCAGAAACTGCAGCAAACCTTTCAGAGTGGACATGGCTCGGCAAAGTTTGCGAACTGGCGGAAGATGAGCGCCATCGTGGTGTACGATTCGCACTCATCAGACCAAAAGGATGCTGTTACCGCGCAAAACATGATCAAGAAGTTTACGAGCGAGGGCTACACGGGCAAAACTGTCATCCTGAAAGGTGGCTTCATGCGGTTCAAGGAGACTCACCCGAAATTGGTGGACTCGGAATCACAAAAGGGAGACGCAACACAGTCGAGCTGCGCCGGCGGCGGTATAGCACCTGTCATTGGAGGCGTCTCTCTGCCAATGGGTACCGGCAGTACCAATCCATTCTTCTCAAATATCCGACAGAACATGGATTTGGCGGATGGTGTCGGCCAATTTCAGGTGTCACGTCCCGAGGGTCTCGATACATCCCAGGTACCTCTCTGGCTTCGTCGAGCCTCGTCGCAATCCGACAAAGGCAAGATGGTGTCAGAGAAGTTCTTGAACATTGAGAAGGAGGAAAAGTCACGCATGCAGACGGCGTACGCCGCGTTCGATCCGCACACAGCCCAGCAGAAGAAGACGGTCCAGCTCTGTGGCGTGGAAAAGGGTGGCAAGAACCGCTACAAGGATATTCTACCTTTCGAGCACGCGCGTGTCAGGCTGCACAAAGAATCACAATCTTGCGATTACGTCAACGCCAGTCACATCAAATCATCGATGAGCAACAAGCGGTACATCGCGTCACAGGGCCCATTGCCGGCGACTTTTGAGGTGAGCGGCTCGCTTTTGCCCAGCTGGTATACATGAAGCTAACAAGTGTAGGACTTTTGGTCCGTCATATGGGATCAGGATGTGCGCGTCATCGTGATGCTCACTGCCGAGTCGGAAGGCGGCCAGCTCAAGTGCCACTCATACTGGCAAGAGCGTGCCTATGGTTCCATCCGGCTCAAGCCACTGTCTGAGAAGAAGGCGTCGCTTGATATGGACAAGTATCGCTCCGACTCTTCCGCGTCGCCAGCTTCGGGTACCATGGGCGACATTAGCCGCAGGCGAGCCAACACGGTGACGTCCGTACACGCGCCAGCATCATCGCCTACTACCTCGCAGACATCGCAGCCCGAGGCGCCCCACGTCGTGATTCGGAAGTTTGCCCTCTCTCACACGGCCCATCCCTTTGCGCCTATCCGTGAGATCACGCAGCTGCACTTTTCATCATGGCCCGACTTTGGCACACCTGCGCAACCGTCGCATCTGCTGGCGCTGGTGGAGCTCGCGAATGTCATGCAACGAGCGGCTCTGCCTGTGGAGACGCCATCTGTTGTGGGCAACCGCAGGTCGTCAGATCATCTGCCCGTGTCATGGCACGACCAGCCAGAGGCGGATGACAACTCGCGCCCCATGTTGGTGCATTGCTCAGCTGGTTGTGGCCGTACAGGCACTTTCTGTACAGTGGACAGTGTCATTGACATGCTCAAGCGCCAGCGCCTTGTAAAGGGCTCCATGACATCTACGCAGGATGCAGACGGCGATGTTGCCATGGCTGAAGGAGATGATGTGTCTCCGCGCACCAACAAACAAATGACCTTCGGCCACTCTCGCACTCCGTCGTCTAGCCAGCGGAAGCCGTCGATGGGCGCATCCACGATTGAGACGTCCTGGCTGAGAGATGAGTCGGTCGACCTCATCCAAAAGGCAGTCGAGGATTTCCGACAGCAGCGGCTGAGCATGGTGCAGAGCTTACGGCAGTATGTCCTATGCTACGAGACGGTTTTGGAGTGGACGCATAGGATGAACGACAAGGGAATAGCCACCCCATCCGTTGGACGAGCGCGATCGGGCAGCATGGCCATTGCCCAGCCTCGCCGATAGGCCACGAGGCAGAAGAATCGCCACTGGCGGTTCACTATTATACGACGTGCACGAGTTACCATTATTCGACGTTTGACAACAGCAACATGGGCATGGATAAGGCGTTACGGTTTTGAACTGAAAAGGTCCAGCGGCAGGTGGACGCATTGGCAATGCAGCATACGAACAAGGGGGGCGCGGGCTAACCTTGGTGTTGATGGAGGGTACTGTATGATCATGGGATAAACAACCTCTGTCGCAGATGCCTTTTAACATTGTGCGAAACGAACATGAAGACATGATACATTGAGAGCACATGTGTCCCAGTGCCTGTTCAGTGATGGTGACTTGACGTTGCAACGAGACAATACGATAATGGCAGGGAATCAAGGACGCGAGTCATGCTTGGTTTCGCGTTCAACGTGCACGTGAAAATACGTAGTATCTTCAAGATCAGCGACGAAGAATCGCAAGAATCGCAAGGAACGCTACTACAGCAATAAGTGGACCTTACGTGACGGATGAAGTGCGACTGTAGACTACCTAGTACGCAGCCTACTTAGTACTTCCCGTCCATCTGACATGATCTGGGGAAAGCGACATGGACTCGAGGCGCGATGCAACTCGAAGATTCCACCCGCGACATGCATTAACAACACTAATGTGCCTTGCGCCAGGAGGGTGTTAGTCAGGGAGGTCCATCCCGCCCCCACCCGCCCACTCGCAGCAAACAGGTGATCCTGTATCAACAGTCTTACAATCCACGATCAATTCTCCCTTCTCCATCCGCATAGCCACTACCTGGTAATCTATCATCCCGTGTTGCATTGTCTCTCCTGTCACTCGTTTATACAACCAGATTTCAAGCGCCAGAGACGGACGATCATCTAGGCCGTATTAAGTCGAGGCTGACCTGAGCCTGGCTCGATCGCCGCATGCGAAACAGACTATTATTACTCCGTACCCAGCCTCCCGACCCCGTGCCCGCGTGGTATCAGAAACGATTACGAAAGCGTCAGACTGCTGCACCCCGTGCAGCAATAAATACCATCGCCTTCCCTATCGCTCCAACGACGAGGCGACACTTCGACCTCGCAGTACTTGCGACACAAGCGCCGCCCACCTACCATGCGTCGTGACTCGCTCGACGTCCACATGGACCTCTCGCCCAGCAACGAACCAAACGCCCTGGTCATCGACGACGATGATGCAGAGCTTCGCATGTTGACTGACACCTACGATCTCTCCATGCCACCAGAGCACGATGATGAGGACGACGATGACCCCATCCTCCACGAAGACAGGGTATTCACCCCTCCACCACACATTGCCGCCCGGTTCTATCGCCCCTCGCACGCTCGTCGACGGGAATCCGCTGCCTCCTCGCGACGGAACAGCTTCTCCTCCGCGCATTCCAAATGCTCTTCCAGTCTACCCACCGAAGGGGATCAGAGCAAACACATTGCGCAGCACTTGAGGCGCACGTCGTTCCTTGAAGATCGTAAGGCACGCCTGGCCGACCGAGCCGCACACGCCGAAAAGGTGCGCTTGCGCGCTGCCACGGCAAAGGCCGCATCCAAGGACACCAAGTCCTCGGAAGAGCGCGCCCTGGCAGCCCAGCAGGCGCGCGAGCGCAATCTGGCAGAGATCGTGGCCAACTGCGCCGAGGAGGTGAAGCGGGCGAAGCAGATTGCTACACTCATGAAGGAGAAGCGCGAAACAGACCAGGCCAAAATGAAGGCGCAAATGGAGGAAAGGCTCGCAGAGGCGGACCGAAGACGGGAAGAGCTGAGGAGGCAGAATGCAAGGAACCGCGGGAGAGGCCAAAGCATCCTTGTGAGGAAGTCGAGCCCTGCGAAGCCGCGGCGTCGGATGAGCTCCGAAGAGGCCGCCGCAAAGATTACGAGTTGGTGGAGGTGTTGCATCCGTCGCAGGGCGATGCTCGATTTCAACTCGCTGGGCCTCTCTGTGGATGGCATCAGAAGCACGTCCTTCGACACAGTCACGGAGTTGCTGGCTGAGGAGAAGGTGCTCACCACGACAGCAAGGCTACTGCGCACCTGCGGACTGCAAGAAGCGGATCCTGGATCAGTGGGCGAAATGGCTGCTGTTCGTACGTTCCTGAGCGCCTTCTTGATCTTGGGGCACCCCAACCAAGTCCTGGCCACCAAGACAGATGGGGACAACGAAGGCGACATGTCCTCTCATCGACTACCTAGTGCCGATCTAGAGAACCCTCAGCTACAGGACCTCGTCAGCAAGGCCAAGGACCTGTTGATTGTGTTCGAGAATATCCTTATGCGGTTGACCTTGACCAACCGATATACCGTGCCGCCAGCTCTGGTCAGCAAGCTGCCGGAAGCATATGCCGTCTTTCACAACGCCTTCATCGCTTGGAAGTCACGGGACTCGAATGCCCTGATTGAAGTCATGTTGATGCAATTCGTCGAACTTGACGCCATCTTCCAGACAGTCAAGGACACGACGGACGACGCGGCCTCGCAGCTGTACCAGCAAAGCATCCGCGACAGTCAGCTCATGCTCATCGTGCGCATCAAGAAGCTCGCTGGTCAAGAGGCGGGCAAGAAGATGATCTTCGACGCTGTCGCCGAAGCAAGAAAGGCAAGGAGAGCCAAGAAGAAGACGGGGGATACGAAACCCCGTGTGGCAGAGCCAACGCCAAGCGAGAGCGACGTCTCTCAGCGGCCGCTCACCCCTCCAGCCACCCCGTCGAACAAGCAGGCACAAACTCAAACAAAGGCCATTGCCATCAAGTCGCCAGGTGGTCTTGGCGGTCTGCTTCCTGACAATCGCGGCATTGTTCACGAACTGGCTATCAACAAGGAATACCAGATTCCCATCAGCGAATACAAAGCGCAAGTATCTGATGCTTCACGCACCATGTTTGAGCAGATGCGTGGCAGCATGCAGAGCGATGCGCCAATCGACAACGCCGTCAATTTCCATTTCTTCATGCTCATGGCTAGCGAGATCAAAGACAAGCTGCAGCGTATGCTCAAGCCCGGCAACAGCATGTACAACCTGATCCAGGAGATGTTTGATCCCGAGCTCGCGCAGAAACAGTTTGAGCGCGGAAGCTTCTCGTATGAAAAGTTCTTCTCTGCCATGGCAGGGCTACTGCCCAAGCTCTGCGCGCCGTTCCGAGATGCCGAGGTTAAGGACCTGGTGGATAACAAATTAGGCGATGGCAACTTGATCGACAGGGTGGAGGCCTTGAGCGGCTTCATTGATATCATGCTGTGCGATTACATCAACTACATGCTTCGAGTTGCTGCTCCTCAGTTGATTGAGTCTGCACCACAGTACGAGGCGAAACGCTTCACGCAGGAGGTTGAGTCAGGGGAGATTGACCTCAGCGCTGCGGAAGCGGCCTGGAGAGCAGCGAGGACCAAGGTTCTCGCTGAGGTCCAGAGGCGGGATCCCGAGGGGATCAATCACCCCAAGTCTCGCCCAACAGGCACGCGCATATACGCGCAGATCTTGGTGGACATCTTCACGCAGCCACTGCCGCTGAAAGAAGAGACTGTCCCTGAGATGCTGCGACTGGATAGCAAGAGAGTGTCCGAAGTGTCCAAGACTGTGCAGCATGTCATCACTGTTGGCGCGGTGCTCTTGCAATGCAAGAACCTTCTCAAGCGGGACGTCCGCTCGCCTTGGAAGGTGGAGGCCAGCAGGATCATGAGCGTCTTGGAGGCTAATCACCCCAACACGGAAACGATTGTCGACGGCACCATGGCGGCCATGGAGAGCCGAAGCATGCCTGCTGCCACCAAGCAGCATCTGCGCGCGCTCGTGACCAAGGTGATCACCGCCAGTCAGGACATGGCCATCCGCGGTACGGAACCACGCGAGCCTGTGCTGCGCTTGCTCCTTACTCGGCTGAGGGGCAACATCCTCGCCCGTCTGGCGCCTGGCTCGGCGAGTGAGCGGGTCAAGGCGGCCAACACGGCGGGCGAGAGGCTCGCGAGTCTGGGACTGAGTGAGTTTGTCGACCGCGTGCGTGGGGTGAGCATGCTTCTCGAGAGGATCGGGGCAGTAGACCGTGGTGCCCATGGGGCGTGGTGGGATGCCATTGCCACCAAGGTAGAGCAGGAGGATACGAATTAATGTTGTGGATGGGTCTCGGGCATGGCGTTGGGTAGCAGTAGTCGGCGTTGTCTGTTTTTACATGGGCTGGTTCCTGGGATTAGCGTACTGGACGGGCACACACACACACACACACACACACCCCAGCGAAATTGAATTGTCATTTTTTCACCGCACTCACTCACTCATGGCATGACCGAACCATGGGTGTCATGAGCTCACTCATCTTGATGCCCTCTACAACCTTGAACCCCAGCCGTTCGTACAGACCGATGGCGTGACCCTGGGCGTCCAGATATACATCCCGCCCGTCAGCTACAGAAGCCACATGCCTCACCAGCTTGCTGGCATGGCCTTGCCCACGAGCAGACGGATGGGTCATGATCAGTTCGATGTCTACACCTGCGTTAATAAATGGAAGCTTGGTGGGCGCGGCGATGTCACTCACAAACATGTTTCTTCCCGCCCATGGTGGCGTCATGCTGCGCGTCCATCGCCCCATAGAACTCTTGTATCTTGTCCAAACTCATCCCTTCATACGGGGCGGGCCATCCGCGTCCGCGCCAGCCCTGCGTCTTCTCGGGCCCGTTCTCTGTGAACCAGAGGAGCATCGACTTGAGACCTTGTGTTTCCATCAGCGGAGCAAGCGGAGTGAAGCATGCAACGGTTACGAACCGCTTTCGTCTTTCAGGACGTGGATCTGCCCAGGCTGGGATGGGTCGATGAAGTAGGTGAAGGCTTGGGTTAGATAGGCGTCGCCCGTGGCCGTGGGCGGGAACACGGCGTGGAAGTAGTCATCGCTAAAGCATGTGCGGAAGATGGCGACGATGGACGGGACATCGTCTTTGGACGCGAGTTGGGGCACCATCTTAACAAACAGAGGGGGACAGGAGGTGGGAAGATGGGGTTCGAAGTACAGATCGGTATGGAGCGGGGATGGCACGTCGTACTTAAGGAGTGGAGTTCTGTCACTCATCTAGCGAACCAGTGTTTGAAGCACAATTACTCTTCATCATTAATTTTTACATACGCTACAGTTTGCTGCTATTCAGTCACATGTAGCCGTGGCTGCTGAGCCACTCCTTGAGGTTGGCAGCGTCACGCTGCTTGTACGCAGCACGTCCGCGAATCTTGTCCTTGACCGTGCTCAACGTCCTGTTGAAGCTGCTCGTGTCCTTGTCCGCGAAGAAAGAGTCAATGTCGGCGACAGCGTCCTCGCTGGTGAAGCGGCTCAAGCTGACGTTGACAAAGCGGTCCACGACAATCGGGTTGCCAATCTTGGCGACAATGGCATCCCAGTTCTTCTTGGTGTACTCCCACTGCATGGGGCGGGCGATCACGTTGTTCGAGAGCGACCCGGCGAGGACGTGCATGTCGGCGCTGGGAACGGCGTCCGAGGGGGGCGAGGTGTTGAAGTTGAAGGGGATGATGGACTTTTGCAGGACGTCGGCATCCTTGGTGAGGCCCAGGACGCTCAAGCAGAAGAGCTTGCCGTCAATGGACTTGGTGTTGAACCACTCCTTCTTCAGAATGTCAACGGCGCGGGCGGGGTCCTTTTGCACACCGGCACGCCAGACAGAAGCACGGAGCGACGGCTGGATGGGGTTGGCCTCCTCATTCTCTGCCCAGGCATCGAAGCGCCTGAGAGCCTCCTCGGTGATCTCGGGGTGGCCGGAAGCGACAGCGGTGCCAATCAGGGACTTGCGCAGGATTCCGACCAGGTAGTCCTCGCCCTCGGGGAAGTCCCAGCCAATCTCCTTGACCTTCTGGTCAACGAGCTTGAGGGCAAAGTTGTCGAGACCCTTCTTGAGCTGCTCATCCTCGCCAAACACAGACTTGATGGAGCCAATGGTGTCGAGGATCTGGCTCCAAACCAGAGAGTGGGTCTCCTTGTTGAAGCCCTGGAGGAACGTCAAAAGGGCGGCTGTAGTACCATTGCCGGAGAAGGCAAGGTCAGCGGTCGACCCGATGATGGCAATCTTATCCTCGGTGCTCAGCCTGTCGAGCTGCTGGCTTAGCTTGGCCAGACGCGCCGGCGGGTAGTTGACACGGTAGAAGCCCGTGGCACCGCTGTTCAGCTTGTAGAAATCGTCGTCGATACCGCGGATGGTATCCTCCTTCTTCTCGAGAGACAGGGCGGCAATACCGGCCTCTCCTTTCTTGCCCTCAAGACCAAGAGGGATCCACCAGGTTGTGGTGTCCTCCTCGGGCTTGACGTCGCCACTGGACAGGAAACGAGACTGCTTGATGGAGATTTGACCAGGCTCTTCAGCAATCGTGACAACGGGATGTCCGATCTTGGAGATCCAAGGGTGCATGATCTCGTCGACATTCTTGCCGGAAGCCTCGCTCAATGCATCCCACAGAGCCTTGGTCTTGGCGTTGCTGTAGGCATTAGCCTTGAGGTAGTTGGAAACGCCCTTAAGGAAGGTCTCGACACTAAGGTGATTCGCCAACATGCGGATAGCGGAGCAGCCCTTGAGGTAGCTGATCGAGTCAAAGATCTGGTTGACATCGAGAGCATCGCGAACAGGAACATGAATAGGGTGGCTAGAGCGAATACCGTCTAGGCGGAAAGCGGCCTCCATACCCTCGTTGACGAACTGAGACCAGACCTGCCAGTCGGGGTGCAGGTGGTCGACAGCGAGCCAGCCGACCCAGGTGGCGAAGCCCTCGTTCAGCCACAGCTCATCCCACCAGTCCATTGTGACAAGGTTACCAAACCACTGATGAGCAAGCTCGTGAGCCACGACGTAGGCAACCGAGTTCTTGAAGCGGGGGTCGGAGGTCTTCTCGTCGTAGAGGACCTGTGTGGTGCGGTAGGTTACGAGACCCCAGTTCTCCATGGCACCGTGAGTAAACTCGTGCACCGCCAGGAGATCCGACTTGGGCAGAGGGTAATCAATATCGAAGATCTCGGAGAAGTAGTCAATGATCTTGGGGGCGTGCTCGAGAGCCCAGCGACCCTGCTCCTTCAGCCCGCGCGTGGTGTAGACACGGACAGGGATGGGGTTTCCGTTGTACTTGCGATCAGTGTACTTTTCGACGTATTCAAAGTCGCCGACAGCCCAGGCAAGCAGGTATGTGCTCATGATCGGAGAGGTCTCGAAAGACACCATGTTCCAGCCGTCCTTGGTGGGGGTGGTGGACTTGACGGGCATGTTGCTAAGCGCGACCTGATCCGTGGGGACCTCAATCTCAAAGTCGAAAGTGGCCTTGAGGTTGGGCTCATCGAAGCAGGGGAATGCGCGGCGCGCATCACAAGACTCAAACTGGGTGCTGAGCATGTAGTGCCACTCATCGTCACGAGGCACAGACTTGGAAGGCTCGACAGTCGGCTTGTACTTGGAACGGTAGAAGCCAGCCATCTCGTTGTTCATGATACCCTCAAAGTCGAGCACAACGCGAGACTTCTTGGAGACAGGCAGCTCATCGTCGAAAGAGATGGTGGCACGCTGGGCCTTTTCGTCGTAGGAGAACTTCTTGGTCTCGTAGTTCTTCTGATCAGTTGTGACCTTGGCGTCGAGGAGCTTGATCTCAAGAGTGTTGAGGACAATGTCTTTGGTAGGGGCGGTGATCTGGGCGTCGATAGAGACAGTGCCCTTGTATGTCCATTTTTTGAAGTCGAGGTCCTTGAGCGAGACAACGTAGTGGGAGGGCTTGATGTGCCCAGGGAGCACGTCGCGGTCCGTCATCTTTTCGGGTCTGCGAGCTCGTGCGTGTGCCGAGCAGCTTCGGGAGGGAAGAAGACTAGATAAAGGTGTCAATCACGTTGGTCCAAGTTCAATTGGTGCCAGGTGACGGAGAGGATGATATAGAATAGGATCGAAGAGGGGACCAGACGGAGTTTGGCGGGGGGTCTTTATGATCTTGCCCTGCAGGAGCTCTCCATCGCGGGGCAGCTGCCGCCACATCCGTGACAAGGCACCGCCACATGTCAAGTGTAAGGTGAGGTGGTGATGACGGGCTGACATACCTGGAGATACTGGGGCTGACAGAGGGTTGTCGAGCAGACTGCCTTGACTGTGAGAGAGCGGTAATAGAGTTCCCAGAAGAGGGCTGGGACCGTGAAATAGTAGTAAAAGAATGTATATAAGCTGGGCTCGCCTTGCCTCGGGTCAAAAGTGCGGCGTCCTGGACAGCGGAGCTCCACAGTGACTGGAGGGGCCTCAGGCCGTATTGCCGCATCAGGAAGCCACTCATGGCGCGCGACGCTGGGACTTCAAAAGTCCTTTTGCGAAAGTGCCTTCAATTCTCAGGCACGCAAGGTGCAGACGACTAGACGCCGTTGGCGACTGGACCAGGAGCAGCCTGCCTGGCAAAGCCCTGACCGGAAGGTCTGCCGTGTGCTAGCTGTAGTAGTCTTCCACGTCGCGGTGCCGCACACGACGATGGCGTGCAGAGCTGGTCATGGAGAGGATCAATCGCGCGAGAAGGGTTCAGGATGCATTTTGATGCTTGGGTCAAGTCAGGGGGGACGCGGATGGACAGTGCGTGAGTGGATCATACACAGTGTATGACACTGTACAGCTCACATCAGCAGGGTTTGGTATTTCATGTCCAATGTTGGTACGGAGTAGAGCCTAGTTGTTGGACGCAATCATATCTGCGCCTGTGGTAATTACATTCAAGTTTGGATAATGGTGCAGTTTCCCAACTCCAACGTGCAATTCAACGCTTGCTAGCAAATGCCGCTGTTCCAACGCCACTCGGGTTAGCTTGGCGCTGCCACAAACGGGACAGCCCAATCGCTCAAGCTTGCAAACCCATCTTCTCAACGTGGGCGATCGCATCAGCTCACCTATCTTGCCATGAAGATGGTCATACTCACGCTTAGTGGCAAGCGTGCCTCGCAAGGAAGACTGCCAAACATCTCTCAGCTTGGACCTCTTCGTTTTGCGCCGGTTTTCAATGCCTAAGGATACATCTCCGGCCTCGCGAAAAGTCTTGCTCAAATCCTGGTATCTACACAGCAACCCAAGCGGAAGGCATTACCTTAAGGGACACTCGATGGAACATGGCGCGAATGGAAACATACCCCGTCGCAAACCTTCACAGCCCAAAGAGTTCCCCAATGGAAGACGACGAGGATTCCAATGGCAGAACTGGCCGAGCGACGTCAAGGCGCCGCGGCAAAGGAAAGACTGGAACAGCTACTGCCACAGCTCAAGACCAAAAGTCATCACATTCGGGTGTCATGGTGACATTGCTTGAGGAGCACCCAACACCAATGGCAACAAGCACGCCCGTCACCGTGGCACCATCAACCCCTAGAGAAGAGGCCAACACCGGGCTCCAATCAGTCGCTTCTACAGCACTGCAGATCACCTCTGGTGAGGACGGGCAGATTCGAAATGTGCCGGTGCTCGGCGACGGACGCCCTCCGGCTTCCATGCCTGTCTCCGACAGAATCCAGGAGGTATCTCGAAAGGACAATTCGCAGCTTCGAGGCGTGCCGAAAAGAGCAACGTCTACTGGAATGCTTGGACACGATGGTGCAACCGACACCGTTCGACCTAGAAAGCGCCAGAAAGGCAAACACGTTGGCAAAGAACCGCAGCCACGCGAAAGCCAAGTGAACGCGGCGGTCAAAGCAAATCGACGGTCGTCTCCGCAATCACTGTCGGAGGCTCAGCCAGACTCTCCGGAAAGGGTCAAGCTCGCCGAGGATAGGGAAGTTGTGAATGAACCATGGTCCCTCTTTGTCTGTGGCGACGGTCAGCTCGGCCAGCTCGGTCTCGGTCGTAAAGGGAGGACCGGGGTTTTGAATCCGACACAGCTACTCGAGCCACAGCTCAACGAACATCTGCCCAAAGATGTCGTCGATTTCGACTGTGGATCGGATCATTGCATTGCTTTGACGAAGGACAATAAGATTCTGACCTGGGGCAATCCCGAATTTGGTGCTCTCGGGCGGCCATGTACAGCCGCCATGGCGACTCCACAGCTTACGAACGGCGCAAACCGCATGGCCTGTGAATCTTGTGAGCCCAAGGAGGTCGATTTCGCGCACCTGGGAAACATGACCTGGACGGCTGTCGCGGCGACGAATAATGCATCGTTCGCCTTCACAGACAAAGGCCATGTATATGGCTGGGGTACATTCTGTTACGAACGATACATAAGCTGTCGCGACGAGGCCTTCTTCCAAACGTTGGGTTATCCAAGGGACAGGCTTAGGAAATTTCCGGTCGGGTTCACCGAGCCTGGCGAGATCGACTACAAGCCCAAGCGGATCGGGGAGCTGGAAAACATCTTTTCTATTGCTGCCGGTGCTCAGCACGTGCTTGCTGTGGGCATGGACAACAGGGTCTATTCGTGGGGAGTCAACTCCTGCGGACAATTGGGGCGAGGCATTCATCATAAAAGAAGCGACCATGAAGTACCTGGGAACGTGGACAAGGACACCTCTGCACATAATCACCGAGGGACCGCTCGCTCTCACAGAAACATCCGCTTCCTTGATGAGGAATATTTGCGGGGCGACTTGGTCAACTCGAAAGACACTGCAGATTACCTTGCAGATGATGAAGTGGAGGAATTCATCCGCCAAGAAGCGAGCGAATGGCTGAAACCGACCGTCATTGCTGTTGATGGAGGCAAGTCTGGTCATACTCCCATCTACTGGGCTGCATGTGGTGCGCGTCATAGCTACTTGGTCGACAAGTCTGGCCGAGTCTATGGCTTTGGCAGCAATGATCATGGTCAGCTGGCCGTTACGGAGAAAGAGCGGAAGGCGTTCAGTGTGGGTGGCCAAGGACACATATTCCCACACGCGAGAAAGCTAGACGAGCCCCGAGAAGTAGAAAGGATTGCCGCGGGCGAACTTCACACAATGGCGCTGTTGAAGCCGACAAAGGGTAATGTAGGAGGCGAGCTCAGCGCATGGGGCTCGTACGATGACTACGCGCTGGGCATACCGCCAGCAGATCTTGGACCACACAATGTCGCAGAAACAAACAATGGAATCGTTGTCACGAAACCTGTACCGGTTCCAGGCCTGCACGACATTGTCCACATTGCTACTGGAACCTACCATACCATCGCCATCGACAAGGATGGGCACGTCTTCACGTTTGGCGCTTCTGATTATCACCAGACTGGGCGTCCGAGGTTGACTCCGCAACAAATTGAGAGCAAGCAGCGCCCAGATGTTCAGAAGAGACCAATGCCCCTTTTCGGGACGACAATGAAGAGCCTGAGCGTCTGTAATGCTGCGTCTCAGTCGGAGGATGAACTGCGGCCATCGCTACGATGGACCACCAAGATTCGAACTGCCAAAGCAGGGCGAGGTTTCTCGGTCTTTGGGGGCATTCCTCGTCCCACGGAAGACCTCAAAGCAGGTATGACAAGGACATCGAAACAAAAGGACGCAGGAGGGGTGCGCGAGCAGATTGGGCGTTTCAAGCTGAGGACTCAGCCTCGCCGTGCGGATGGAGACATGTCGGATGAGGATGAATGGTACGATGGCCGGCCGCAGCGTCCTTCCAGACGTCAAGGACAAGCGAGATAGCCTCTTCCCAGGACGAGAGGTGTGAGACGTTTATGTAGAATAAGGTCTGTCTGTGCATTGCGTGGTTTATTCCACCTTAATGAGCGATGCAAAGAAGCGTTATCACATGTACATAGATGGAGTGCAGTCTTATGCTCAAGCATATCTACCAGTCTCGGGCTTGTCCGGTCTATTTTCTTGAACAGGGGCTTTTCGCTTGGAGATCTTCCAGGGGCATTATCAGATCTTATCAATCAGCAGCCACAAGCAGCACAAGCCGGGCTGCAGCCTGAGGCACGCATTTAGCTAAGAGTATCAGTAACCCTGTAATTACTGCAAATGCGCCCCCCGCAATGATCTTTGGACAACGTCGCACGAAAACAAATGCGTAAGCTGTGCCGTCTGTCGGTAACTAGACAATAACTTTATATGTGAACTGCAGGCAATATCTCTGCATCAGCCATGCTTTCGCTGGCGGTCGTCATCGATCATGAGCGCCACGCTGCCTTTCCCCTGCGCAAGCTTTTGCTCCATTACGCTTACCCAAAAGGGTAGCCCCCTTCAGCGACCAATCACATCAACCGCCCGGTCGGCCGAGCAGAGGGAAGGCGCCCTCGCTGCCTGCACCTGCACATTCCCAGCATGCACTGACTGCGGTGACTGACGCTGCAGTCTGATCTCTCACTCAACCTGTTGGCTCTCCCAAACTCCACGACCAAGTCGAGCGATCCGCAGTCACCTTGCTTATTTCATTGCCGACCGATTGACGGTGCTTTTCTGTTCAGCACAACACCGCGATCCGAAGTAGCAACACCAACAATTATCGACACTGCTGCCGTCTGGCACGCACCCACCCCTCCCGTCGGTCGCATGTAGCGACGAAACCGCTCCCGCCATGTCGACCGAAGCCCTCGGCGTTCTGTCTGCTGCTGCTGCCGCCGCTCAAAGCGCAGCAAAAGCAGAACAGGGCGCCTCGCCGGCCTTTTTGCACTCGCCGCCTGATAGCAACAATGCGGCCAAATCGGAGGGCAGCGACTCGGAGCTCAGCGACTTAGACGAGGAGCCCATCCTCCCTGGCCCGCCACTGACTGCGCCGAGTCAAGCACCGCAATCCTCAACGACAAAGTCCCCTCCCGTTCACGAACCTCCTGCCGAAAGCGATGCGCCCGTGGAAGACGACATTGGTGAGGTCCTGCCGGCCGACTGGTCGGGCAACGTTGCCATCTTCAAGCCGACGATGCACCAGTTCAAGGACTTTGACAAGTTCATGGCCAAGGTGAATAGCTACGGCATGAAGTCTGGCATCATCAAAATCGTCCCGCCCAAGGAATGGCTCGACGAGCAGCCACCCCTCGACGAAATGGTCAAGACACTTCGAGTTCGCGAACCCATCAAGCAGGACATCATGGGCTCCAACGGCACATACCGCCAAGTCAACATACTTCACGGCCGTTCGTATAATGTACCCGGATGGAAGAAGCTATGTGAACAGAGCGAACACCAGCCGCCAGCCCGCCGTGGCGAGCGACGAGCCAACGCCGAGAAGCCGAAGCCCCGAAGGTCAGCAGCCGCAGCCCCTGCGCCGAAACCGCAAGAACCGCCTGGACCCAAAAAGCGCGGACGGAAACCGAAGCGAGGTGGCAGAGCAGGAGGACGAGGTGGAAGAAGCGCCAGGGCTCAAGAGGATCGGCCTATGACGCCAGTATCTCCCAAGGCTGAAGAGGACGAGTCCATGGAGACGGTCGAGCATGACGAGCCAGAAATGGGGTTTACAACGCGGGGAGGAAAGGCGAAGACGCAATCCGTGTCAGCTCGTCGCAAATACCAGAAGCGCGAAGGGTCGGCCATGATTGATGAGGCAGCGTTCAAGGACTTTGACTACAAGATGGACATTTCCGATTACACGCCCGAGCGTTGCGAAGAACTGGAGCGAGCATACTGGAAAACCTTGACATACGCGCCTCCTCTGTATGGTGCCGACATGATGGGCACCCTCTTTGACGACCGCACGGAAGCATGGAACCTCAACAAATTGCCCAACTTGCTGGATGTCCTGGGCACGAAGATTCCTGGTGTCAACACAGCATACCTTTACTTTGGCATGTGGAAGGCGACGTTTGCGTGGCATCTGGAGGATGTGGATCTGTACAGCATCAACTATGTGCACTTTGGTGCGCCAAAGCAGTGGTACAGCATTTCCCAGGCGGACGCTCGCCGGTTCGAGAATGCAATGAAGAGCATCTGGCCCGCCGATGCGAAGGCTTGCAACCAATTCTTGCGCCACAAGGGCTTCCTTATCTCGCCTCAGCACTTGCTCCAAAACTACAACATCAAGGTCAACAAAGTCGTGTCGTACCCAGGAGAATTCGTGGTCACTTTTCCCTACGGATATCACTCGGGGTATAATCTTGGTTACAACTGCGCCGAGGCCGTCAACTTTGCGCTTCAGCCTTGGCTGGAGATGGGCAAGATTGCGAAGCGATGCGAATGCGCGCAAGCGCAAGACAGTGTCTGGATCAATGTTTATGAGATTGAACGCAAGCTTCGCGGCGAAGAGACCGATTACGAAGAAACTGACGAGGATGAGGATGATGAAGAAGAAGATGACGAAGACGATACGGGGATTCACTCGCCGCACGGCCAAGTCAAGATCAAGGTCGCCACTAAAAAGCGAAAGCGACAGGCCGGTGAGAAGGCTGGCGGGCCAAAGGTCAAGAAGATCAAACTGCGGCTGAAGAGGCAGGCTGAGCCGCCTTGCTGTTTGTGTCCGAATGACATCTCTGCCATGGAACTCTTGCCGACCGATGACGGTCGCAAAGCACATCGCGTCTGTGCGCTGTATCTGCCTGAGACGTACATCGACACGGTGGACGACCACGAGATTGTGTCTAATGTGGGTGGCATCCACAAAGACCGGACTGAGCTCAAGTGTCTGTATTGTCGCTCCAAGAGAGGCGCGTGCTTCCAATGCTCGCAGAAGAAATGTGCGAGAGCCTACCATCCGACATGTGCTGCCGCGGCCGGTGTCTTCATCGAGGAAGAGGACGTCCCGGTGTTCGGCGACGACGGCGTCGAGTACAAGGAGCAGGCATTCGAATTCAGCTGCCGTTTCCACCGCACGAAGCGCGACAAGAAGCGCGATGGCGAGGCGCTTGAGAACGATGAACGCATTCGGGAGCATGCAGCGAAGCTTAATAAGGGCGACGTCTGCCAGCTCCAATACTTCCGAGGCGATATGTTTGCTGGCATCGTTGTGGAAAATCGCGCCGATGAACAGATGCTCCTCGTGGACATTTTGCCCAACGGTGATCGTCTCGAAATTGAATGGAAGTGGCTCGCAGTCGCCGATCCAGCTGACTACCACTTGCCCAAGGCCTCACCCAACGCCCTCCCTCTACCACCCTCGCAAAAGGCCAAGGACAAGCTGAACGCCAAACGCTCCGAGGACGAGAGGCCAAGGAAGGATGACGTTTTTGCACCAGGTTATACCTGGGCCGAGTTCCATGACCATGTGCTTGAGCGCAATCCCGAGCAGGTTAAGGTTGACCTCTCCAAGGACGATCAGGTCTGGCACTTTATCGGCAAAGGCTCGACGGATACCAAAGCGCAGTACACTGAGGACCCCAGGAGACAACGCCACAATACCAAGGCCAACTTCTTGGATACTCTGCTTAAGCCGCCCAAGCCTGTCAAGGCAGTGCCAAATCCGGCCGTGCGGAGGCAATCATACAATACCAACGCAAGCTTCGTCTACCCGCCAGGCATGTCGACGACGCACAACACATCACAAGCTGCAGCAAAGAAGGAGCCCAAGCCTTACCAATACAAGCCTAAAACACGAATGTCGTACGGCTATTCAGCGCCTCAAGCTCCTACCTACACTGCGCAGCAGTTCGCGCCCAGCACTCAACCCCCTGCTCCCCGTCCGATCAACAACTCGTACAACTATTATTTGCCACCGGGTTCTCAGTCGGGACAGCAGGGTAACCAGGGTTACAGTCAAACACCTGCGTACGCCCAGCAGCAGTTCGAGGTCAAGCCGCATAGAACACCCATGAACTATCATAATCCCAAGCAGCCGTATCAAGCGCCTACCGCCCAACAGCACTCGTCGCCATCCTGGGGACAGCCGTCGCAACAGAACAACTACCAGCAGACGCCGCAATACCCCCAGCACCCTCCTCAAGGCTACTCACAGAGCCCTGTGCCGCGCCCAACGAGCTCGGCCTCGCAACCTCCAATGTCGGCGTCTCCTGGTACGCACCAGCCTGCCGCCTTTTCACCACCGGCTCCGGCACATAGTCCTGCAGCATTCCCCCAGCAAATGACCATGTCGACACCTTCATCTGCGTCCGCTGTGCCCAAGCCGGCGCAGGCTCCTGCCGCCACTCCGACACCCCCTCCTGTTGCCGCCAGATCAAACCAGCCGAGACCGCAGTCCTCCCAAAGGAAGCGACAATGGTCTTTGCATCCCATGACATATGAAAAGTGGCCATTCTTCCAGACGCACTATAACAGGTACGCTGATTGTGCACGCGTTTGATCTTCCAACTAACGGGCTAGGGACTTGTCCAAATATCGTACTCCATATGCACCTTGGGGCGGATTTACGAACGGTTTCGAGGGTGACCTGAGAGCCCATCTCATGGCCAATCCTCAGGAACTATTGAGACGCTCAAGCATGACATCTGCGTCGCCGCCGACGATGGTAGCCAGACCTACACAGCCGACCAATGTAGCTGGTCCTTCACAACCTTCTGCCGGCGTACCAGCTTCGAAACGACCTGCGGCAGCCAAGGCGGCGAGGAAGCCCTCGTATACGAAGAAGTTGCCGCCCCCAACGCCCAACATCGCGTCTCCACCGCCCATGCCTATGATGGCTCAGACTGAGGTGCCGCACCACCAGGCTGTTTTTGTGCCTGAATTTAAGTCAGAACCGCTTGCGGCGAGCGCCGCCACTGTAAAACCCTTAGCGCCTACAAAACACAAGTCGCAACGTGGTTCTGGCTCAACGACACCCGTCCCGACACCGATGCCGACGCCTGCAACGCGGACGACTCCCCACGGGACGGCGCCCAAGCAATCGCACGTGCCACTGCCTGCTAAGTTCCTGGCTGCCATGAGCTCGTCTCAGCCTGGGTCGCCCACGTCGGCAACGTCGGCTCAGCCGACGGCGGTCATTCCGCCAACGCAGACGACCGCGCCCTCTCAATCACCCGCTGCTGGTGGGAATAGAATCTCCACCACGCCAGTGCCGTTCCCCAAATTCCCGAGCATGACGCCTCATCAAGCAGCGGCTCGTGCATCGACCACGTCGACGGGATCGCAATTCGAATTTCACAATGGAGAGACGCAACAGTTTGCTGACGTTCCGGGGAGTGAATCTATGGAATTCATGGAACGAATGATGTCAAACTTGCGGAGCCTGGCGGCGAGGTTGTAACTGTAATATGGCAATGTCGATGGCGTTACGAACTTGGGAGTGGGACATGCATGACACGAGGCAAAAGATACCAGGCATTGTATGGACCAAGAGGGCATTCATGGTTTGAAAGGCGTTGGGAGCGATGTACTTTACCAAAGCTGGAAGATTTCTTTAATCGTGTACTCGTAATGTGTCCGCTGTGGTCGGAGTGTGTGCGAGCGAAAGCTTAATCTCGTTCGCGGCAACTTTCATTGTGACTTCACCTTGTCCAGATAAGGTGAGGTGAGCTTCACTCCAGCCGTGCGTGCACCATCAGGGTGCGGCTCAGCGTCTTAATATTCTTCTCAACTCATCTTACCGTTTGCACTTTTACCTAAAACAAACTCGCCTAGAAATATCCTACCCGAACTCGCCGATTCACAATCACAAAGGCATCCAAACCGATACTCTGGACTACTCTACCGGAACCAATCTCAAGCGAAACCTTTCACTCCTCTACGATCCCTTCTTGACCCTCAGCCGCCATGAAACCCAACGACTCTCGTGGCCACCGGCCGATAGCCCTGCCCGCTTTTCTCCAAGATCCTCTCGACAACTGGGGTCCATTGAACGAACACCTACCATACGAAATTGAAAGGAAACAGCAAGACTCAAATCGCCAACAAGATGCCATGCCCTCAAGGGACCCACGCGAGACGAACTGCTCCCCAATCTCTGACGATAAGCGCGCGGAGATTGAGAGATGGAGGAAGTCTGTGCAAAAGGCTGGCGCGAGCGGCCCAGGAGAGAACAGGCACGACAACCCCGGCAGTTCATCCGCCAAGGACACTTCTCGAAAACAGATAACACGATCTGATAAAAGGACTACAGAAGGCGCGAAGGAAGGCTAAGCGTATGCTGAGCGCGAGGTGAATCCCAACCAGCGTTTTCCCCAGACGTGGTGTCCCCTGGCGGACGAAGGGCCCGCGCGGCTGACCAGATACGCGATCGATGGCAAGGTGTTTTATCTTCGTGGCCGAGAGATTGGCGCCGGAGGTTGGGCCGTCGCGTACAAGGTGTACAGGATGCAGGACAGGAGTGTCATTTGTGGCAAGGTGATACAACACACGCGCAACCCCAAAGTTGCGGTGGAAATGGTCCAGAAGTTGAAACACGAGGGCAAGGTCCTTGGGAGGCAATCCCATGTGAGTTTGATGACCGGACACCATATCGCTAGTGATCGTTTCGGAGCTGACGAAAGAACAGGACCATCTGTTAAAATACATGGGGTTTTTCGAAGACAAGAGCGACCCTAAAAAGGCGATGTTGCTGACGGAGTTCTGCAATGGTGGAAACCTGGACGAATTCATCCATCACCACGCTGTCGGGGGCATGAAGCCTGAGGACATTGTTCGCTCTCTGCACCAGGTGAGCTCGGCCCTCGAATACCTACACCAGGGATCGCTTTTCCACACGGACGTCAAGCCCAAGAACATCTTCATCCGCTGTGTCAAGCCCTTTGACGTGGTACTCGGCGACTGCGCGGATATCCAGCCCCGCTCATACAAGGGAAAGCTCCTCGGAACGAGGCTGTTCCACTCTCCGCAGATCGTCCAGAGGCGAGCGAACTGCGGTCCAAGCGACGATGTCTGGGCTCTGGGAATCTCGGCGCTCGCCATGATCGACATGTCACCCAAGGTCATGTACAACGTTCAGGGCCCCAAGCGGAAGGACGTGAACGTGGATTACGACGAGTACCCAGCACGATGTGGCACTCATGCCCTAAGCCTGCGGCAGGTTAACAAAGGGAATGCACTGGTCACGGCCATCCAGAAGATGTTGGAGCTGGAGACGGCGAAGCGCTTCAGGGCGATCAATGTGAGGCGGGCCATGGAGGGGCAGCTTGACAAATGGGAGGGGAAGACCCTGAACATCACCCCTCCTGAGGGGTTCCAGCAGGTCGAGTTCTGGTGAGCGGCGTCGGCCCTCGAAGCCCTGCAACTTGTGCCGGAGAATTCTTGACTATCGGGCTCCTTGTATTGTGTATTCTCCGATGACACTGTACCTTCCGGTAGACTGGACACATGTAGGCTTCGGCTTGCTCTATGTGGAAGATCACGAGATTCGCACAATCTGGTGCAAGTGACGCCATCGCCAGATCAGGCTTGGCGTTACTACAGAGCCCACAAGGACGAAAATGACTAATCCAGATCAACCTCCTTCCCGCAACAATCGGAGCGACATCGCAGCCTGGAAGCTGGAGTGACCTGTTGAGTTAAATTACATGTGCCTTGCCTTCGGCTAGCAGAGGGACTACCTGCATCTCCTTTGTTCTCGCGCGGACGATAATTTGAACAGCCTTGCCATCACACAAGCGTGTTTTCATGTCGCTGCTCACCACGTCGTCTCTGTTCCGCTCCGCCAACCTCACAACTCAACCCTCTCTCCTGCGTGGCTTCTGTACCTCTGTCAAAATGGCGAGCAACAAACTGAAGCCTGCGGCGCGCGTCTCGGGCCAGCGACAGGATGTATGGTCCATCATCAACGAGGCAGCCGCCAACTCGCCCAACCAGCCCATCATCAACCTCGGCCAGGGCTTCTTCGGCTACAACCCGCCCAAGTTCATCCTCAACGCGGCCAAGGAGGCTCTCGACAGGGTCGAGTGCAATCAGTACTCGCCTACCAAGGGTCGCCCGCGTCTCAAGAAGGCCCTGGCGGATGCCTACTCGCCTTTCTGGGGCCGTGAGCTGAACCCAGACACGGAGGTCACCATCACCACAGGCGCCAACGAGGGCATGCTCTCGGCATTTATGGCATTTATCGAGCAGGGCGACGAGGTCATTGTGTTCGAGCCCTTCTTCGACCAGTACATCTCCAACATTGAGATGCCCGGCGGCAAGGTGCGCTGTGTGCCCCTACAGCCACCCAAAACGGGCGCCACAGAGACGACGTCGGCTGCCGAGTGGACAGTGGACTTTGACCAGCTGGAGAAGACGATCACGCCCAAGACCAAGATGATTGTTCTCAACACACCCCACAACCCTGTTGGCAAGGTCTTCTCCAAAGACGAGCTGCAGCGGATTGGTGACCTGTGCGTCAAGCACCAGATCATCATACTCTCAGACGAGGTCTACGACCGCCTCTTCTACGTGCCCTTTACGCGCATGGCGACACTCAGCCCGGAGATTGAGCGGTTGACGCTTACAGTCGGGTCAGCGGGCAAGAACTTTTACGCTACCGGATGGCGGGTGGGGTGGCTGATTGGGCAGCCGCATCTTCTGCAGCACGTCTCGGCCGCGCACACGCGCATCTGCTTCACCTCGGTGTCGCCTCTCCAGGAAGCGTGCGCCGTTGGGTTCGAGCAGGCGGAGGAGCAAGGGTTCTGGCGTGACACGATCACCGAGATGAAGGACAAAATGGACCGGTTCAACCAGGTCTGGCCCGAGCTTGGGCTGCCGTACTCGGAGCCAGAGGGCGGCTACTTTGTGCTGGTGAACATGGCCAAGGTGAAGATTCCGGCTGACTACCCGTTCCCTGAGCATGTGGCGAGTCGACCGCGCGACTTCAAGTTGGCGTGGTTCCTGATCCAGGAGGTGGGTGTGGCGGCGATCCCGCCGACCGAGTTCTACACGGAGGAGAATCAGCACCTGGCTGAGGACTATATCCGGTTCGCTGTGTGCAAGGAAGACCAGGTGCTCGAGGATGCGAAGGAGAGGCTGAGGGGGCTAAAGAAGTACATGCAGTAGACTAGGTGTGGGGGTGAGGGTGGTAGAAGGTGAAAGATAGATTGGGTGTGCTGCGAGGCTGCGCATCAATGAGATAATGCCTTGAATAATACAGGATCTACTTGAAGTCCCTCGTGAAGATACAGTAGAACAGTCACCGGAGCGCATCAGAGTTGAGGTGGTGAGCTCCGATGGGGGATCTGAGATGTGATGGCGGAGCCGGCCGTGGATGCGGGGTGCCAGGGTTAGTGGGGGGTCCTTATCTCACACAGCGCCGCGATGGAGGGGCTGATTTGCACCCGCACGCCTCAGGTTTGACACGCACACCCTTATCTCGACGACCCTTTGACCATCACCATTTCGCCACGACATATGAACTCTCTAATCCCATCACATTCTTTGATCCTGCTGAGAGCAGGTAACTCTTTTCATCAAGTCAAACCTCGTAGCGTTCCATCGAGTGTCTTCAAAGCCTATGCAAGTCACATGTGGTGAGACAGACGGATACAGAGCAACAGCTGGGCGCTTGCTTGGTGACACCAGTCACAATCATCGTCGTGCCCTTGACTTTCCACAACCTCGTCAACCAACATGGCACCTATAGCAGTCTCGCCTGAGCGGGATGGCTCGACAGCTGCCCTCGCTGCCCTCACGGCCTCCTTTGACGACACAATCACCTTCTACCTCAACGGCACCCGCACCGTCCTTGGCAACATCGACCCCGAGGCCACTGTCCTCGAGTATCTCCGTGGCATCGGGCTTACGGGAACCAAGCTTGGCTGTGGAGAGGGTGGTTGCGGCGCCTGCACTATTGTTGTCTCGCAGTACAACCCCACCACCAAGAAGATCTACCATGCCAGCGTAAATGCATGCCTCGCACCACTCATCTCCCTCGACGGGAAGCATGCCATCACCATCGAGGGCATCGGCAGCACGAAGCGACCTCATGCTGCGCAGGAACGCGTGGCCAAGAGCCATGGGAGTCAGTGTGGATTCTGCACCCCTGGCATCGTCATGAGCCTGTATGCACTGCTCAGGAACAACGACTCACCGGATGCTCGGGAGATTGAGGAGGCCTTTGATGGCAATCTTTGTCGGTGTACAGGGTACCGTCCCATTCTTGACGCCGCGCAGACATTCTCTGTGGATAGGGGATGCGCCAAGGTGAAGGCCAATGGAGGAGGCTGCTGCATGGACGGCAAGAATGGCGCTGCTGGCGGTGGATGTTGCATGGATCAGAAGAATGCAGATGGCGAAAAGGGGGCAGACAAGATCAAGCGGTTCACGCCACCCGGGTTCATCGAGTACAAGCCCGACACAGAACTCATCTTCCCCCCTGCCTTGAAGAAGCACAAGATGCAGCCCCTTGCTTTCGGCAACAAACGGAGAAGGTGGTATCGACCGGTCACGCTGGAGCAGCTCCTCCAGATCAAGAGCGTCCATCCAAACGCCAAGATTATTGGCGGGAGCACAGAGACCCAGATTGAGATCAAGTTCAAGGCGCTGCAGTATCCCGTCTCTGTCTTTGTCGGGGACATTCCTGAGCTCAGGCAGTATGCCTTCCACGAGGACCACATTGAGATTGGCGGAAACGTCGTCTTGACCGATCTGGAGCATTTATGCGAGAAAGCCATTGAGCACTACGGAAAGCAGAGGGGGCAGGTGTTTGAAGGTATGCTGAAGCAACTCAAGTTCTTCGCTGGACGACAGATTCGCAATGTCGGCACACCAGCCGGCAACTTGGCCACGGCTTCGCCCATCTCGGATCTGAACCCTGTTTTCTGGGGCGCCAATGCGGTGCTGGTCGCCAGATCCCTCGAGCAGGAGACCGAGATCCGCATGGCGAGCTTCTTCACAGGCTATCGCAAGACAGCACTTGCCGCGGACGCCATTATTGCGTCGATCCGCATCCCGGTGACGGCGGAAAAGGGTGAATACTTCAGGGCGTACAAGCAGGCAAAGAGGAAGGACGACGATATTGCCATCGTGACGGCCGCGCTCAGGGTCAAGATGGACGACGAGGGCATCGTCACCGAGACCAACCTGATCTACGGTGGCATGGCGGCCTTGACGACTTCGGCCAAGAAGACAATGGAGTACCTCGTCGGCAAGAGGTTTGCCGAGTTGGAGACTCTCGAGGGTGCCATGACAGAGATGGGCAAGGACTTTGACATGCCCTTTGGTGTACCGGGTGGCATGGCTTCGTACCGCAAGGCGTTGGCCATGGGCTTCTTCTACCGCTTCTACCACGATGTGCTTTCCAAGATCGATGCGGAAAGCAATGGCGTCGACACGCAAGCCATCTCTGAAGTGGAGCGTGAGCTCTCGAGGGGCACTATCGACGAGCATGCTGCCGTCCAGTACGAGCAAGAGGTCACCGGCAAGGGCAATCCCCACGTCGCCGCACTCAAGCAGACCACGGGCGAGGCGCAGTATACGGACGACATTCCCTCCCTCAAGAACGAACTCCACGCCGCCTATGTCTTCTCGCAAAAGCCGCATGCCAAGATTGTGAGCATCGATTACTCCCCTGCCCTGGACATTCCTGGCGTCGTCGACTACGTGGACGCCAGCGACATGCCGAATGCAGCCGCCAACCGCTTCGGCGCACCATATTTTGATGAGCTCTTCTTTGCTGAGGGCGAGGTGTTTTCGCACGGTCAGGCTATTGCGATGATTCTGGCCACGTCGTCGGTGATCGCGCAACTAGCCGCCAGGGCTGTTAAGGTGGTATATGAGGATCAACCTGCCATCATGACCATTGAAGAGGCCATCCAACAGGACTCATATCATGATCTGTACAGGGAGATCAAGAAGGGCGACGTGGAGCAGGCGTTCACAGACTGCGACTACGTGTTCACTGGCACGGCGCGAATGGGCGGCCAAGAACATTTCTACCTCGAGACAAACGCGTGTGTCGTGGTTCCCAAGCCCGAAGATGGCGAGATGGAGATCTTCTGCAGCACGCAGAACGCCAACGAGACACAGGCCTTTGCCTCGCGTGTCTGCGACGTGCAGGCCAACAAGATCAATGTGCGTGTCAAGCGACTGGGTGGTGGCTTTGGCGGCAAGGAGACGAGGAGTGTGCCGTTGAGCTCTGCGTTGGCACTGGCGGCCAAGAAGACGGGCCGTCCTGTGCGCTGCATGCTCACGCGCGAGGAGGACATGATTATGTCTGGACAGCGCCATCCATTCCTGGGCCGGTACAAGATTGGTGTCAACAAGGACGGTAAGATCCAGGCACTTGAAGTGGATATCTTCAACAACGCGGGCTGGAGCTACGATCTGTCGCCCGCGGTTGTGGAAAGATCCATGACTCACGTCGATGGCTGCTACAATATTCCGAATGTTTTCATCAGGGGCCGGATCTGCAGGACGAATACCATGTCCAACACGGCGTTCCGAGGCTTCGGTGGACCGCAAGGCATGTTCATCGCCGAGACGTACATGGAGGAGACGGCTGATCGTCTGGGTATCCCCGTCGAGAAGCTCCGAGAGATCAACTTCTACCAACCGGGCGAGGAGACTCATTTCAACCAGGCGCTGGAGGATTGGCATGTGCCACTCATGTACGAGCAAGTCAAGACGGAGTCCGAGTACGAGAAACGCCAGAAGGAGATTGAAGCGTTCAACAAGGACAACAAGTGGCGCAGGCGGGGATTGGCCATTATCCCTACCAAGTTTGGTATTTCCTTCACGGCCCTCTTCCTGAACCAGGCCGGCGCTCTGGTGCACATTTACCATGACGGATCGATCCTCGTCGCCCATGGTGGTGTTGAAATGGGCCAAGGTCTGCACACGAAGATGACCCAGATCGCCGCGCAAGCTCTTGGGGTGCCACTGGATAACGTCTACATCTCCGAGACGGCTACCAACACCGTCGCCAACGCCTCGTCCACGGCTGCGAGTGCGTCGTCGGACCTGAACGGATTCGCCATCTACAATGCCTGCGAGCAGCTCAACAAACGCCTGGCGCCCTACCGCGAGAAGCTGGGTCCCGAGGCCACAATGAAAGAGCTCGCGCACGCGGCGTACTTTGACCGCGTCAACCTCAGCGCGCAGGGCTTCTACAAGACCCCCGAGATCGGGTACACCTGGGGCGAGAACAAGGGCAAGATGTTCTTCTACTTCACGCAGGGCGTGTCGGCTGCCGAGGTGGAGGTCGATCTCCTGACGGGTAGCTGGACGTGTCTCCGTGCCGATGTCAAGATGGACGTGGGCCAGTCGATCAATCCGAGCATTGACTACGGACAGATTCAGGGCGCCTTCATCCAGGGTTTGGGACTCTTCACGATGGAGGAGAGTCTCTGGCTCAGGGCCACGGGACAGCTGGCAACGAGAGGACCAGGCAACTACAAGATCCCCGGGTTCAGGGACATCCCGCAGCAGTGGAACGTCAGTCTTCTCAAAGACGTGACGTGGGAGAACCTGCGGACCATCCAGCGCAGTCGCGGTGTGGGCGAGCCGCCCTTATTCATGGGGAGCGTGGTGTTCTTTGCGATCCGAGATGCGATCCGTAGCGCGCGACGAGATGAAGGCGTGTTCTGTAAGCCTGCCGTCGAAGGGGGTTCGACCGATGAGGGACTGTTGAAGTTGGAGAGTCCGGCGACGAACGAGAGGATTCGACTGGCGTGTGAGGACAAGATTATGCGGAAGGCGAGGGTACAGGCCAAGGAGGGGGAGAAGAGCTTCTTTGTGGCGATCTAGCGATATTGAGACATCTTTTGCGAATGACGTACAACTCTTGAGGACCTTGCTGGGCGTTCATGGAACAGGGTACAGGATGATCTACCATCATGCAGATGTTTCCCGTCGTTTGTGTAATGGAAGACAACCAATGACTGCTCATAATTGCTCGCGTGATCATCCCGCAGGTAGCCGAGGCACAGTGACAATGGCAGCTGAGACATACATCGGCTGCCAGCAGCATGATGAGGCAGACATGCAGTGACGGAGAAGAACGGCTTCACGACTGGAGTGCTCGGCTTGTGATCGCATCAACTTGATCACGAGGGGCGTTTTCATTTGATACCGGGTAGGCAGCGCGCGACACGACACGGACGAACCGGATCCGGTCCTCGGCGCATGTAAAGGCAGGAACGACCGACTCCACTCTAAACATCCACGGCTGCCGTTCGCGCCAAACGGGATCCCCCGCCGCCATTTCCATCCTACAGTCTACACCTGCATCGGTATTGTCGAATTGTTATTCTTCATCTCGCGTCAAGACCAGGCAATCGAGTGCACCGGTCGCTCGTGTCCCCGAACCAAGCAGCCACCCTGCGTTCTGCGTAACCCGAGGAGCAGGGATCCCCTACGAATCCATTGGCGCTGTTGCTTGCCAGCTTACGCCCGCCCACCCACCGCAACAGACAATCCATGCGGACGCAATGGCCGATCGAAAACCAGGACCGAAGAATGGCGTGCCCAAGCCTGGCGCGGATGCCAAGAGGGAGAATGGACGGGAGGATGGCAAGTCTCCTAAGAAGAGGCGCAAAGTGAACCATGGTACGTGGCCGGTCACGCTTTCAGAGCGAAAGTTGCGTAAGGAAAGGAACAAAACACTGACCATAGTCTCCCAAAAGCCTGCGTGTATTGTCGCAGATCCGTAAGTGGCGCCAGGAAACAGAATTGGACTGCATTGACTCGAAATACAGCACATGACCTGCGATCTTGTACGTCGAGCGCCCCGGCCCAACGGATTATTCGAAGCGCAATTCAGTCTAATATTCACATCCAGGAACGCCCGTGCACACGTTGCATCAAACGAAATATTGGCCACCTCTGCCACGACGAGCCCCGAGAAAGCGAGACCAAGAAACCAAAGGCCGCCTCGACGTCCCACTCGCGCCATCCTCTACCGCCGCCGCCGCCTCCACACCCCGATGACAACGTGATAGACACGCCGTCCGAGATGGGGAGGAGCAGTATCTCGAGCAACATGGGCCCGCCACCCACGACATACGACACTGGCCGGCCGAGGACGTCGAGCGGTGGATTCGCAGGAGGGGCGTTGCCAGCATCGCTACCTATTGTACAACCACAGCAACAGGCTACTGGTATGCAGGGAAGGGATGAGGGCAGCGGAAGCAACTCCAATCAATGTAGGTTGACAAATCCATGGACACAAATGCCCCAGACTCCCCGCCAAGAAAGATTCCCCTCTCCCCCCTTTGACCTTTTGGTCTCTTGACTACTACTCCGAGATCCGAGAACAGCGTCCAGGACGACCCAACCCAACCCAGGAACCGAACCACCAACATGAGGTCCTGGGCTGACAGCTGAGATAGTTGCAGGTTTCTCCGATGCATGGATGACGGCCCAGAACTTTGAGGGCATGAACAGCTTCAACCCAAATTACATGATCACGCCCGAGGTCACTCACGAATTCAACCTCCTCAACGATTTCTTACACACGAGTTTGCTCGACGACAATGGCATACCGCCTGACGAGGCACAGCAGGCGTTTCGACGCGTGCCCAACCAGGACATGCTGCCTCAGTTCCTGACAGGCAGCGCGACGCAGGCCACGGGCAAGACCCCCACGGGCGCCATGCTGCCACCCCCGACGGTGGATGGGAAAATGACCAATAAGCCGGGCAGCGCGCTGCTGGGCGATAAGGACAAGACGCGAGAGTACTATCTGCAGGCCGCCGATCCTTCAGGAAACGACAACCCCGAGGAACGCATGGGCCGCGTGCTCCGCGCCAAGTACGACGCTGGCCTGTTGAAACCGTTCAACTACATTAATGGGTACGCGCGGCTGGGCAAATACCTCGACGGGCATATCGCGCCTTCGTCGAAACAAAAGATTCTACGCACCATGACACAGTTCCGACCAAAGTTCCGCGAGAAGGCGCAGGGCTTGACAGACATGCAGCTGGTCTATGTCGAGATGTGGTTCGAGCGGCAGCTGATGGACTATGACCGTGTGTTTGCGAGCATGGCCGTGCCCGCGTGTTGCTGGCGACGCACGGGCGAGATCTTTCGCGGGAACAAGGAGATGGCCGAGCTGATCCACGTGCCGGTGGATAAATTGCGAGATGTGCGTGGGTAGAGCCCCCAGATACTGGCATCTACTGACCGTGGACAGGGCAAAATTGCGTTGCATGAGATTTTGACGGAAGAGAGTATGGTGCGTTATTGGGAGGAGTTTGGCACAATTGCATTTGACCCCGCGCACGAGACGCTGCTTACGGCGTGTTCGTTGAAGAGTCCGGACGACGGCTCGGATCATCCTGTGGTGAAATGCTGCTTCTCCTTTACGATCAAAAGAGATGAGCACAAGTTGTGAGTGTCTTAAAGTGCGTCTGGGGAGACAGACAGATGGCTAACGAAGCAGACCGGCGCTCATTGTTGGGAATTTTCTGCCGCACGATCCGCCTGCGCAGGTGTAAGGGGGTAGTAGGCTTAGACTTTTTGCCTGCATAGCGAGGGCGCGCGCTTGTACCTTAGACCTCCTGGTGGTCAATTTGCATTTTCATTTCTTGGATACTTCCTCAATTATTTTTCCATTGGATGCCTTGATTATGAGGTCTGTGGCGAATGATGTAGCCTTTGGTGGCTAGCGCCAGCCTGATTGGAGTGACGGAAGGAGCCCCTGATGTCGACATTGGAAGGAGCCTGACGCACCCCGACCCGATTCTTGTTGTAGCACAGCACATCCATTTCTCGACACATCGACCGCACATGGAGAAAACGCAATGCCCCGACAAATTCAAGATCCCGCCACTCTTGGCCGCGAGCGCAAAGCGCAGGCTATCATCGGTACGGATGCCCTTGTACCTGTAGGCACACGCTGACGGGCCCAGACTTCACGAAAGATACCATAGCACAGCTGCCCAGCGTAGCGGGGAACGAAGATATCCTCGCAGCCGACATCAGGCACCAGCTCCACGTCATCGCATCGCTCTCCCAGAAGCCGCTGCAGCATCACATTGCCCGATCACTCGAAAGAGAGGGGAGGGACCTGTGGAATCTCTGCATCAAGCTGAAGCGCGAACGAAAATCGGTCAAGATATTGCCAAAGGCACGGCTGCTTGCCTTCCATGTGCTGGAGCTAGGTCGGATGGGTGTTGAGTCCAATCCAGAACAGTCGGGAGCTGTCGATAAAGTTGTGTACTTCCTGGGTCTTCTTCTGACACTTGGACGGATTTGTCTCGCCGAAAATGATCTAGGAAGTGGCAGGATTGCCTTACAAAAAGGCGCACTATACGTCGACAAGTTGAAGGCCCTGCAAGGCGACGACACAGCTGGAAGAAGGAGCCTGGAAGCTGGTCATGTCACCCTGCACATGGCGCTCTCCTGGCGAGAAGGCAAGCTGGATGTGGCAGAGCACATGTTTGCCAAAGCCATAGACCTCCTCACCAATCTGGAAGCCACGTCGGCCGAAGACATGGCAGACACACTACGGCATATCGGCGCAGATCTCTCGGACAAGAAAGACTACGCCATGGGAACGAAATGGCTATGGCGAGCATACAACGTGATCAACACACCTCCACTTGATCATTTGAGCATGGATGGATTGGACAATCGTCTCGCTATCTGTCAGAGCCTCGTCCAAAGCCTTCTCGGCATGAACACCCCAGAAGCAACAGCGGAGGCGAACAATCTGGTGGCGTACGTGGAGTCGGAAGTCGGAGACAAGCCTATTGTCTTGCACTGGAGACTTGAGATTCTGCAAAACCCGCCATCGGACGTCTTTGAACCAGCACCGTACGCAAGCGTGCTGAGAAGAATGGTCCGGGCATTCGACTTTACGCAGCAGACGTTTGATTTCTTACTCCACCATGTCAAGAAACTGAGTGAGAACAGCGTGAGCCTGGCTTGCGGAGTGATGGACGAGCTCATTACGCAAAGGGTACTTCAGACAAAACAGCCGGCTTGGATAGACAAGACGATTGTCAGGAGGGTGTGGATGAGCACAATGGCCACGAATGAAGTTGAGAGCGACATGGAGAAATTGGCCACATTGCTGGATGTGGTGCTCGCGAGCTTGGCAGAACCCCTGAGCGTGGACGTGGCCGGCGCTGCACAATCGCTTATATGCAAGAAGATTGAGGCAGCCTTTGTCCGAAAACAATATGCTGTCACTGAATCATGGTGTCGCGTGGCTCTTCATGGCCTCTTTGCCAACTGTGGCAGCTCGAACAAGGCAAAGTTTGGCCGCAAGCGCATGCTCTGCACTTTAGAGCTGAATGAATTGGACGCCGCTCGGGCTGCATTCTCTGCCATGGAACCCGCAGTTCAGGACGAGCCTCTAAGTCAGTACTTGTTCTTCAAGACTGCCTTGCGCTCGTGGGATACCGAGGCAGCGTGCCAAAGTATCAGGAATCTCGCAGAAGGGACCACATATCAATCGGTGCAGGATTTGCTGTACGCATGCATAAGGGAGGCCCAACAAGTCGGGGACAAAATCTGCACACTGACGGCACTGAAAGCAGTGGCTCAGGGCTAGGATCCTATCAAGTCATCAGCATCCTGTCTAACCTCCGTCGTGAGATGCAGCTTGCGCCTCATCACCATGCTGAAGGCGGAACGGAGCCCGTCGAGAAAAAGAAGTCGAGACGAGCCGGAGGGGCAGGAGCCGCCGGATTTATTCGTTGAGGATGCCTGCGTTCTATTTGAACTGGGTAAGTCAGTCATACCGCCCGTCAAAGCTGTGCTAACCCTCGTGGAAGCTGCCGAACGAGCGCGGCTGAAACTCAAGGATCACCATGGCGACAAGATCTTTACAGTGCCAGAGCTACACTGGTTCCGCAAAAATGCCTACAACATGGGCGTGGCGGCATGCACGAGTGCATCCTGGACATTGAGCGATGTGGTTCGAATCTTCGCCGCCTGCCTGGTGTTTTGTGATTCTTACCCAAAAGACATTCCCCAGCAAGACAGGGACGACATACTTGTGATGAGCCTACGGAGTCACTTTGTCATTGCTTCAGCGTTGGTTTCGCTGGCAAGGACAGAGGATAGCGTGGCAGAAAGCTTACAGCGGTATCTTGAAACTCGGGAGCACGTGGCGGCTTTCGATGGTTTACTAGAGAATGCATCCGATCAACAGCACGCAACCATGGCAGATCTGCGAGCCAAAGCCTCAACACTGTATGTTTTCGATTTTGAAGCTGCCACGGCCCTCAGAGCATGGGATGATGTCCCAACCATACTGCGCAGATCGGAGTCGTGTCGGGATGAGTCGTGCCTCAAAGCGATGGGCGATTGCCTGCTCCGGAGCGAAGCACCAGCGCGAGGTATTCCACTGAATAGACCACACAAGTACTCGCTTGCTAACAACCATAGTTCTGTACACAACGTTGCGTCTTCTCATCAATTCCTTGCACGCATTGTCACCCGTGAACGCAAGTCTTCTCACAAAGTACATCCGCACGCTCTTTCACGCTGTGCTGCCACTAGACGACACGTTGGCCCTCACACTCATCGATCAAGTCGTCGAGATTGCCGCCGAGGTGAAAACATTACCCGAGACGGAGTTGGAATGGTTGGTCGCCAGGACGTTCAACCATGCCATTGACTATTACGCCAGGGGCGAGGAAGAGAACTGTCACATTTGGGCGATGAAGGGCATGGCTCTTTCGGGCGCGATGAGCGATGGGGGGGTTCTACGGGCCATGCTGGAGGAGAGATTTGCAAAGTTGCGATTTGAAGAGCCTGCAAGAAAGGGGGTGGCGAGGTAAACACTATCAGACCAACAGTATTTTGCCTGAAATGATGCCTCTTCTTTTTATGGTCCGACCATTTGGTAGTCCACGAGACGTGTGAAGGGCATTCATAACGCTTCCAGATCCAGTCCTCGAGGTCTAGGTTTCAGGGTTAGTGGCAAAGCTACGACTTCATACGAAGCCGATGGTAGGGGACATGTCAAGCGCTGAGTGGCCATCTTGCTCACTCCAGCCCCGGGCAAAGGGTGATCCCTCCGGCCTGAGATCCTGCCACGAGCAGATTGCTGCACCGGTAGGGTGGGCAAATAGCCAGACATCCATAGGTCCAGGCATTCCCGACACACAAGTGCCGAGTGGCTTTGATAACCAGTACGTCGGCGGAGTGACGTGCGTAACAATCAGATGTAAGACGGGGAACTGTGGACAGGCCCATCTCGATGGTCGCCCCCGAGGAATGTTTGATCAAACGCCGCTCAGGGGCGGTTCGACATAAAGCATCACATCACCAGGACAGCAACGTGCTCTTCATCAGCATGGCAATTGCTACCATATGACCACCTCTCTGCGAAACAAGACGCCCCTGCCCGACAAAAACAGCGCGCCCATGCTATGCTGGTATCTATGCACATGTTCGCGTACACAAGTACGCGAGGACACACAAGCCAAACCGACCCCCCCTTCGCTACTCCGTGCTCGCTTCTCGCTTCGCATTTCCCTGGCAAAGCCCTGAACTCCGCGCTTATCTTATGCTATGCGTTTTCCCTTCCCAAGGCCCATGGATAGAAGACGCCCTCTCCATATGCTGTGGGTGGTACATCCACCTCAGTCATTGCGTAACCAACCAACCCCGTGTTGAAAAAGACGGCAAGCAAGCAAACAAACCATCCCGTGATAACATTGCATGTGCGCGCAAGAATCGGTACCTGAAGCTGTACCACCACGACTGAGACAGAGGTACACGGGTACACTGTGACACCCTGACGCCCCTGCTTCCTTATGTTCTAAAATTCCTGTGCGAGTGGGAACTCAAATTATATTCGCAATGCTCAGACGGTTCGTGCTCCGACGCCCGTCGCCGACCGCTGGGCTGTCCGCACCACTGCCTTCCCTTGCCGTGCGCGCCGCGTCGGTGGCGTACCGTGGTGCGTCGGACAGACGGGGTATGTCAATGCCCGACGTCGCTTGGGGAGGCTCGCTCTTGATCTGAGGCGGAGGGAGTGTCGGCCAGGCACCGGTGGGTGGCGTCGAGCCCGCCATGGCTGGTCCAACGACCGGTGTCCCTTCTGTCGCGAGGGCTCGCACGGCGCTTTCAAGGCGGGCCCAGCCGCCCCATTCTCGTGTTTCATCCACCGTCAGGCCGGACCGAGCTTCTGAGCTGTACAAGCTATTCGGGATCGGGGTCGAGGGGTTCGGGGGTGGCTGACGTTGCTCGGGCGCAGCTTCACGCTCGAGGCCCGCCCACAGCCACGCACGATCTATACAGGCCTGCAGATCCGCCGAGACATAGGACAGCAGCTCCTCGTCCGAGGTCAGTGACTGCAAGAGGACAGCTTGCTGGTCTTGAATAGACCTCGCACTCGGCGGGGGTCGCATGTTGCGAATGTAATCAGCGTGTTCCACTCGCTTTGAGCCAAGAACGGACACGAAGAACGAGAGGTAGCGTCCGCAAGGTACCGCGACATCGCGCCGGGTGCTGATGCTCGCGAGGGCGCGTATACTGGTCATAGCTTGCTCAAAGTATCCCGTCAGCAGCAAGAAAAGCGCGCACCTGAAGATGTGAGTGGCCAGCAGAGCCGTGGCGCCCTCGTCGAGCGCGGCGCTGGAGCGTTGGATCAGGGCGACCGTGTCCAGCGCCAGCATGGTGCAGCCTTCGACGGCGTTGAGTCGAGTGTCCATGCGACAGCGCGGGCTAAGGTTGTGCCGGTTCAACAGCATCCTCGCGTGTAACAAGTGCGCCAGAGGTCCTAGGAAATGGGGGGCCAGCGGCAAAGGGCTCCTTGGATGGCATTGCTGCGGGAAAGAGTATTCCAGACACTGGCGGAAATGGCTTTCAAACAGCTGGGTCCGCTGGTGCGATATCATCCGCGCCGCCAGGGCCTGGAGCAATGGGGTGTAGCACCTCACCACGTGTATCACTGCCAGTAAAGAATGGGTAAGGGGTTGAGATCCAGGGGGCACCTGCATCCCATTGGCTTGGATGAACTGGTCGTCAACGCCAGCGGGCAGCGCAACGTCGCAGTCCTCGTCGCGGATCAGTGCCGGGTGCCCCAGCTCAGAAGACAGTATTCGATCGAGGATGTAGATAACCCACCACACGCGCCGCCTCATCTCGCCCTCGATCACCGGCCACGATCCTGCCTCGGCGTAAAGACCAAGATCCTGGCCGATGCGCACGGCCTGTCCAAGAGCTACCCATGCCGCTGATTTGAGGTTCATCTCGTTCAGACAAATGGTGGTGAGAGCTATGGTGCGTGCGGCATCGAGGTCGAAATCGTTGTTCCACGGATCAATGAGGCGTCGAGAGGTTTCGAGCAGGTCGGCCGGTCGATAGAAGGCGCTGCTGCTCGGAGCTTCGGTGGTGAAGAGACTGCCGACCGCCAGCACAGCAAAGAAGAGAGACAGGACGCTGGGCGGTGTCTGCGCAAATTGCCCGCTGTAGAGCTCGTCAACTGCGTGTTGGAACGTCGGCCAATGCAGTATAGGATACATGGGATGCGCCAGGCGGTAGTATGAGTGCAGCAACTGCTCGGCGATGTGGCGGTTGGGCAGCTCTGGTCTTGGGGGATCAAAGCTACTGCCGCCTGTCGGCCGATACAGAGCGGGAAGCTTGTACACGCCTTTGGAGACATTGCGCATGCTGCTTCTCGCCCGGGCAAGTTCGGGCATCGGATGGGGCCGGTCAATCTTCTTGGGTTCGGCCCCAGTGGGTGGTAGCTGCAACGGACCCTCGTCTACTTCCATCTCCATGTCGACCGATCCATCCCGGCCCTCGAGCTCCAGCTTCCGGCGCAGGGTGCTGTTCTCTTGCTTCACCTGATTCATCTGTTTTTCGAGGTCTTGCACTTGCTTGATAGAAGACATCCGCCGGTTGGTCTCCTTGGTGAACTGGCATTTCACGTTCCGGCTTGAGCATTCGGAACAGCTAGTTGTCTCCGTCGCGTCGCACTTGACCTTACGCTCACGACAAGCATCGCAACTGGGGTCCTTTCGGCGTTGACGGTATGCCCTTTTCTGTGACCCTACCCCGGAAGGCCCTCCCAGATGCGTGTGGGAGGGCCCGGGGGTGCTGCTGACGGATTCGGCGGACGGCAACGGCTCACGGCCGTAGGTGTTATACGGAGGATACCCAGGGTTGGCGTGGACGGGTGGCAGAGATTGGGCGCCCAATGACGGCATGCCAGTCCCTGGCCTGGCGCTGGAGCCCATGATTCCTCCGAGGTACTGCGAGCTGGGCCTTGGTGATGTTGCAGACGAGACCGAGGAGGAATCGAAAGACCTGGTGGAAGGGTTTGGGGAGCGCGGATACGGGTAATGCGACGGGGCAGCCATAGGGGATTCGTCAGACCGGCTCACAGCACGGAATCAAATGGCTCTGTACAGGAACAAACTGGCCGACCGGACTCGGTAGACGAGACAGCCAGTATACCTGTGCCGAGATCCTCGCCAGTCGATATCCGCGGTCGCCTGTTTCGCTGCAGCTCTGGTGTAACACGGAGGTTGGCCCCGGGTCCTTGTGGTAAGTGATAGAAATCCAAAGGCGTCCGCGTCCAAATTTTGTCCCACGGGCGATGCTCCTTCGAGACAGGGCGGCTGAGATCGACTCGCGAGCGCACCAGCGGCGATGCAGGCTTGACTGCCTGATGCAGCACGGGCTGCGCCTATGCGATGAGCTTGCGATGCGAAGTCGGCTTTCCGACTGCGGCCACGGAGTCGCCAAGAGGTCCCAATGTGCCAACGTGGGCAACGGCGCAAGGCGAGCGGCGGCGGGGAATCAAAGTCAAAGTGGCCGTTGTCGTGCGATGCTATCAAGCGCGTCAAGCAATCCCCATGAGCGCCGGCAAAGTCATCGAGGTTCAGTTCAGTTGCTCGAGTCGTCGCGTACCGAGTAGGTGGTAGCGCTTGGTCACCCGTGTTCCGGGGCCCTCCACGCCTTAAAGCGCAATCGGAAGCAACTGAGCCTGACATGGGGGCAGAGACAACCCTGCACGCTGTTCAGCGAGTGCAGAGCAACGACTCCAGTCTCGAGATCCGATACAACGAGAGCTGGCCACTAAGATGATGCGGGCGGAGCTGGCTCCTATGAGAATGCCACCAGGGGCGAATCCCTGCCACTCTTAATATTAGCCGGGGGCGCTCTCCTCCCATTTCTCCAAACGGCCGTCCATAGTCGTTTCGCGTGGCAACCACCGTACATGCGTACGTGGAGTGCGGCAAAACCTGCGCTTTGTGAGCTAGGGCGCCTGCATTGGTGCCGCTCTAATGTGAAGCCGTTGGCCACGGCAGTATCGTGTGACATATCCGACCCAAATAGGCACACTGCAACCGGGCAAAGATGGTGGGAATCTCGACACAGCCGGATGGGAAAGTCGCGGACCCAGTTGGGCTAGCCAAGCAAGTACGCCTACGGAGTACGTACATACAAGGGTGGGCTCTGGAGTCTGACGTTCGCCAATCCCTCCCTGATATGCGCTAGCTCGCATGGAGACGATAGCCAAGGGCAGAGGCCGCGCGCCAAGCGATTTCGCCGGGCATGTTCTCCTTGTCAACTTCATGTCAAGCTTTTGCTCGGCAGATGGTCCATACCGGGGTCCCGCAGCGACGGAGCGGCCATCGGATTTATTGACATTTGGTCAACACTCATAGAATTACTCAGGAGGTTGGCAGAAGGGCGACGGGCACGGTCGACAACACCCACGATCGTCGGTGTGGCTTGTCTTTGAAAATTTTCCTTCTTCTGGGGGACCCGTGGTCGACTCTGGCGCGCACACGTTGTCGTCCGCCACACCCCTCGCGAATGAAGACTGGCCATATCTCCACTGGGATCGACACTTTTCGCGCGTCACTGCGCGAGTGCACCTCCAGTCGCCAGCACCAGAGAGAGGAGGGGCTGCATGCTTACTCCAGTCGGTTTTGGGGTTTCGGTAGTAGTAATTACGGATGGTCTGCCTCCCGTTGAGGAAGGTTGTAGATTT